TGCAGATCACACTCTTACACCTTGCGCAACCGTGCGAGTGACGTGCGCCGACGCCACTCCTTCCCCACATTTTCAGAAAAACGTAGCAGACGTGGACTCCCAAAAAAACGTGAACGGACAAAAAGCACGCACGGCGGGTTGTGACCGAGGCTTAAGTCTTAACATATGGGCATCTGTAACAATCATGTCACTCTGTTCTAGGTGGATGTTTAAGACAGAGGATTGTGACATCGGGTTTGGAGTGTACAGGCAGCGGGGTAGAGGTACCAGATACCAGGACATGGAGGAAGTCGTGACGTGCTCCAAACACAACAGTCACCTCATACTGACCGACGGGGAACTGTTGTGTACAGAGGCTGGCAAATGTAAAGTTTGTTTTTGTTTACTATCGTGAAAGTTGATTTGTGTTCAACTTGGTAGTTACATGTTTAAAGTTAAAACTTTTGGTTCAACACAAAAAATTCTCTCACCTAGAGCTTTCGACCAGTCACTCTGGTTTTCCTCAGTAGACGGGTCCATCGCCCTTCATTGAACCGCGACGGGGGCCGACATCGTCTACCAGATACCTTTGACCCAGTGTTGACGTCACACTTCAAAGAAGCCACGTGACAAGCTTCAGTGGGTCAGTCTACTGAGGAAGATTAGAGTGACTGGTCAAAAGCTTTGTTTTTTTATTCAAGGAATCAGAAGAGAAGGTGTAATGCAACTGCACTGTTGCATGTTTCAAAATCAAACTTATTGGCATACTGAGTTAAGATACTGTTTTTACACTACTATGTACATATTACACTTTTGTACGTTTGGGACCGCATTGTGGAGTCTGTTCTCACAGTAACTTCTCAGTAAAGCCTCGGTCACAACTCGCCGTGCGTGCTTTTTGTCCGTACGTTTTTGTCGTGGCTACGTCTGCTACGTTTTTTCTGCAAACGTAGGGTGGCCGGCCGAGGGAGTACGTCACTCGCAAGGTGTACGTACGTGGTCTGCACGACACGCCTGACCGTCAGCGGTTGCGTGCATCGTACGTTGCGCAAGTGGTAAGTGAGTTGTACGTGCTTACAACGTACGATCTCTGTGCGATTGCCACGTTGCCGCGTACAGGCCGTACCTACACGTGCGGCGTGCGCACGATTTCCTTACTCACTCGCACGTTGTAAGTGCGTGCACCTCCTGTTAACTTCATCATCACTAGCCGCCCTGGTGTCTTCCGCGGCCCGTTTCTTTGGATCTTGTCTGGTAGACTTCTTCTGAGCCTTCCTGGGCATCTTGGAGACGAGTTGGCAGTCGCCCGTCAAGTCGTCTTTATATACTGTAGAAATAAGGTGCGTTGCGCGTGCGTTGCACGTGCGGAGCACCTAGTATGGTGCACGTGTGTTCTGCGTGGTCATTGAGCAGGTCAACTGGGAAGTGAGGAGTAAGCACGGATGACGCAAGCACCGTGCGTGGCACTGACGTGCTTCGTGCGCTGTCCGTACAGCAATTGCACGTGAGAATAGTGAAGTTAGACTCACGGAGTCCGTACGTTGCACGCTCATAGGCTGTACGGGGCACGCGCGTCGCACGTACTCGCACGCACGTGTGGTAAATCCGCAGACCGCACGTAGAAAAAGTATTACATGCACTTAAGGTTCTACGGCGTGTCTGCGTGCTCCCAAATCCGTAGGATTCCGTACGGAGGCGGTACTCACCACGCACGGATGCCGTACGTTTGCCCACGTTTTTGCACGTAGACAGCACGCAGAAGCACGTACGGCGAGTTGTGACCGTCGCTTAACTGATTTTCTTTAATAACTGACCACAATTATGTATATAACACACTTCTGTACGCTTGGGAACACATTGTAGATACAGTTCCCTGTAACCACGTATATGTGTAAGTATGTAAATATTGTGCGTTTGGGAATGTATCTATAGCAGCGACACCTGTGCTGCAGCGCAATGTGAACCAGTCAGAATTGCCCTGAGGAAGGTGACAGACGGTCACCGAAACGTCGGCTATGAAAAACATCATTGGTTGTGTAAAAAGACCTAAAAAGAGTCTCTTTACTCAGTAACTTACCAACCTGATGAAACTATTCACGGAGGTTCTTGTCATACTGTGTACTGTTCGCCACCCTACAACCACTCTCACATAGGCGTAATGTCGCAAGCCTTACGTTATTTTATCGCTACTTCCACGGTAAATGCTCCGTTGAACTTTATTCGCTAGTGCCCCCACTTCGAAAATTCTCAGCAAGGACACGTCTTGCCACTTCCACCGAAGCAAATCACCCTTTCTTCCTCCATTCACCACCTCTTTATTAGGAGGAAGTTCCATGCTGAAAGCTTCTTTTCAAGCACAACATCACTTTGGAATAAGCTACCTCGTGATTGCTTCCCTTATGAGTAAAGTCTAAGGTCAACAAACATCTGTCCTCATGACGGGCTGTACAGTAACCCAAAACATTTTGTGGCTCCCATGAGCCTTGTTTTGTGGTGACCTATGAAGTAAATAAAAAACTACAGCCTGTTTATTCATATTCCCACAGATGTTGTTCGATTCGACAATTCCTACAGCTGGATTCGGAGTAAGACACTTCGCTACAGCCTGGAGGTACTGGACCCTACCAATGAGTCTCTCATAGTGGTCAAAGGTGACGTGTCACAGTTCAGGGATGGGCAAGAATCAAGCCAAGACTAAGGGTCACAAAGGTCAAACCAAGCCAGTGATGTGGAAATCTTCCAGCTTTGTATAAAATGTACGAAAAACGTAGGAAACAACGTTGGAATAGTTATGTTTACCGAAGGAAAACATATTGTTTTTGCTCCATTTCCATTTCTTCTCCAAACACTAACCTCTGACCTGGCCAATGGCCTCTTTTGTTTACGTCTGTCACCATAGTAACTGGTGTCGGGTTACACAATGTGACACACACACAATGTGGCAATTTCATTGTAGGCATTTAGACTCCTGTCACCATTTACATGTATGTGAATGTGTTTGAGTAAGAATTAACAGAGCAGACCATATCCGAAGGTAAACATTATGCATTTGCTTTGCAAATGTTACTTTTCTAGTTAATGTTACAATTTTATAACTAGAGTTCCCCGATCTCATACCTTCGCCAAATGATGTTAATCTTTATGACTGACAATTTGTAGATTACTAGTATTCCCCTGATTGTGCAAATAGGGTCCTCATTTTCATGAATTATATCAATTTATCATATTCTCAACCAAAAGACAGTCTTATATTAACAAACAATATTAATGCCATTCTAGCATTTCCTCATAAATTATGCAAATGAGGTCCTGATTTGAAAGACCTACCCACACACTAAGTATCAAGATAATCCATTTAAGTCTTCTCAAATATTCGTGTCCAGGCAGAAAAGACAGGAATACAGTTTTTATATATTAAGTACATATTTGTAATAAGTCTATATTATATTTCATTTTCATTGTAAAAATCATTATGAAATTGCAAAATGTACAAACATTTTATATTAAATTTGTCAGTAAACGTAAAACTATGTCTGAAAATTGCAAAGAATTGCAAATAATTAGAAATAAATATTCGCATGATGTTACATTACATTGTTACTGCCATTGGTGTTTTGGCCTAAACTAAACTGCAAATTTCACATGAAAATAAAAAATGGGCCTTTGTTGTAATGCCTTGATTAATAGACTGCATACAATTATTACAATGTCTCATCACACTTTTTTGTTTACTTGGAAAAATCATAAATGCAACAGTTTTCGACAGATATACCTAAAATTAGGCATGATATAATCATGCTGTTGTTTCCGAAAAAAAACACAAAAAACTAGTGGACCCGTCTTTATTCCTGTGACTATTCCTGTGACTATTACTTGTCATGTCATTTTACTACTACAGTCCAGTAAATTAAGTACTGTCATTTAGAAGCGACAAAACGAATGGTCCATTTGCTGATATTTTTGTTTCATATTCCCACATCTAATCACAAGACGTGGTGACAGCACACTAAAGTTTTTTCAACTAATATTATCATATAGCCAGATGACGTTGACCAATCAGAGGGCTCCGTTTCTCCCATAACCCAGGTCATTAATTTCCGATATACGGACCTGCGGGTCCAAGGCTATAACGGAAGTGGGGACTCCATAACGGAAGTAGACGTTACCATTACATGTCAGGGTGGTGTTTTCCCCTAACATACTTCTAAAGAGCTTTCTGATAACTCAGACTTGTTTATGTAGAGAGGTAAATGAATTTAGTTATGATAAAAGTATATACATTTCAAATCAGCGTAGATTCAAGAAAAAAACATTCATAAAGATTACTATTTGCTAGTTCGTACCTCTAACTTTCAGCTTTAAACAATTGGTTTGTTGCGATGAGAATTCGCTTCAATGCAAGATTAAAAGATCTACGTGTATATGTTACACAGGAGTTATTTCCCGTATGTGTCTCCTTGGTGTACATGCATATGTGACAATGTCTATATGATAATAACGTTAATGACCCGCTTTCCTTCGGTGAATACGGTGTCATAATTCATGGTCGGTTCCTATAACCACCTCATAAACGACCTCGTCCGCTCTGCGGACTCGGTCGTTCATTCGGTGGTTATAGGAACCGACCATGAATTATGACACCGTATTCACCTCAGGGCGGGTCATTAACCCTATATTAATGCCGCCACCAACACAGGGGACAATACAATACTCATTTTCACCTGAGTGAAGGGAGGAAAGTCGTGTAAAGTGCCTTTCCCAAGGGCACAAGATCGGTGGCATGTCAGGACTCGAACCCAGGATCTCTTGATTCCGAGTCAAGCACTCTGTCGCTACGACCCCACGTTTGCTGATAATTCCAACGCCTAGTGTCGCGTGATAAAGATAATGAATAGGCAAAGCGAACATGACATGACATATTTACTATTCTTTGAATACAGAGATCATTGAGGTAGAAGACTGACTCCTGACCCTCTGACCTTTGACTTTCCCGATGGATATTTACAATAGTAACCACAACAGTGCCTGTAGTTACTGAAGCAGGGTGGTCTCTCACAGAACACATCTGCTCACAACTGTCACGGTGTCGTCCTTTGAAACATCCAAGTCTTGACCAAGAGGAACTCATATATACCGCTGAATTGAAGGTACTTAGCAGTTTTGTTTGTGGGGTTCGGAGAATTTATGAGGTGCGTTAGTGCTAGTTGCAGAGACAAATACAGCACTATTATGTGTACATTATGCTAAACCGGTTTTCTGTCGTGTAACCGCCGCCATTTTGTTTGTCCATGAACATCATGACGAGAAAATGTAAAGAATTAATTTTTGATTGATGACATTCTAAGTTGTCGGACCATTTGACAGAAAAATGATATGTTCTGATAAATGTTCTGATATACATGTATATACATATCTACCCTGTGGTAGATATGAGCTAAGTTTTTTCAGTCGCAAGGTTTGGAAGGGAACTATCTGGTAGAATGTCTTGTTGGTTAAGTTGCAGTCCTCTTAAGTCAGAGCAAATCATTTAGGTCACTGTCCGTTAACGTTTACCCCTTAGGGCAACTTTTACAAAGCATCCTCTAGAGAAAGCTTAAATATCAAATTTTCAGTAACCGGCTCTAAGATTCAAAACATACGACCCTTACTAAAGCCAAATGAATGTACAGGGAGGGGGGGGGCAAAAAAATTAACGACAGTCATTCTAGTAGAATACAGACGATTCCAACCCCTCCAGAGATCTCCAACCCACCCCTACCCCCCAGCCCCCGATCAAATCGCAACCGATTTCGCCGTAGTGGGGTCGTGTACTGTAGCGTAGCGGCAGAGTGCTCGACTCGGAATCAAGAGGTCCTGACATGCCACCGATCTTGAGTCCTTGGGGAAGGCACTTCACACGACTTTCCTCACTTCGCTCAGGTGCAAATGAGTATTGTTTTGTCCCCTGTGTTGGTGGCGGCATTAATATACATTGTAAGTGCCGTCAACACGTTTTGTGATTAGATGTTGGAATGTAAAAAAAAAACGAAGAGGGGGGGGGCAGGTCAAAATCAACAGGTATTTGTTTTCATCCAGGCTTTTTTTGACTCCATAGAAAATGCCTGATGTATGTATGCGGTACCGGTTTAGCAATTGGTTCCAGTGAACTTTAGTATGTCATTATATATAATCATCCTTCCTCTTAGCCTAGAGGTTGTATGGACTCTTGTATGGACGTTATGGATATACAGTGTATATCGATGTTTCAAGACTTAATTTTTATTTGTTTACCATAATTTTTTAACACAAAGACATGGCAGACCAACTGACAGAGGAGCAGATCGCTGAGTTCAAGGAGGCCTTCTCTTTGTTCGACAAAGATGGGGACGGCGTCATCACTACAAAGGAGCTGGGAACTGTCATGAGATCGCTGGGACAGAATCCAACTGAAGCTGAGCTTCAGGTACAGTAGCGAGCTTTAACTTGGCAGAGATAGAAAACAATAGTGTGTTCAACATAATGTATCTGAAATTCGTGAATACCAACTGCACCAGAATAATTGTGTTCCAACATGCTAACATTTTGTAGGATATGATAAACGAGGTTGACGCGGACGGAAACGGAACCATAGACTTCCCAGAATTCCTCACGATGATGGCCCGGAAGATGAAGGATACCGACTCGGAAGAAGAGATTCGTGAATCATTTCGGGTATTCGACAAGGTACAACTAGGGTTTTTTTTTATTCGGCCACAGCAAGTAAATTTTATGGATGACATCCTCCGCAGATTCCAAATCTAATGCGAGCGGCCGAAAAAATCAAGGCTCCTACAATTTGAAATTTTGACTCAATCATTGTACAAATGGTTTTGATTCAGTGGGAACATCACATATACTCAGCCACCATCACATATCACTGCAACAAAGTAAGAAACACAACATTAAATCAGAGCCTTTTCTTGTCTCCTCCCTTCATAGTTAACTGCCATCCACCTTCCGGCATGGCAACAGACATCTTTGCCCATTTTTGGTAACAATTGTTTTCCAAAATCAGGTGAAAATTAATGCGCGCGCTGATGTCATCCATAAAAATTCTTTAACCAGGTTACACACTGTAGCAAAATAGCATTCCAGTCAGTTCTCTTGTCTGATTCAGTCTGAAATGTCTTGCTAGTCGTTTTCTCTCATCAGCCGATATGATGTAGCATTGTCTGTTCGTCTAACACTTTTTCCCGCCGAAAATTATTTCCAGGATGGCAACGGCTACATCAGCGCCGCGGAGCTGCGTCACGTGATGACCAACCTGGGAGAGAAGCTGACAGATGAAGAGGTGGATGAGATGATCCGAGAGGCGGACATTGACGGAGATGGTCAGGTTAGACACAGCAGTAGACATTGATTCTGAACCTTTCATGTGGTAACAATCGTACCTAACAACCATTAGCTTCTCCGAAGTTGCTTCAAACTAACAAATGTGCAATATTCTAGTGCGTAAACACTAGTAAACACTATATGCCAACAGCAAATCAGCAAGAAGAATAGAGGAAAGCTGTATGCCTTTTGGTTGCTTGCTGTGCATGCCAGACAGATGACTCATAGATAGTCATCCCTAACTATATTGTAAATTGTGACCTAAAAACAGTCAAAAAGTCCCAAATATTATACAAGTGTAAGGGAGAGTATGCCAAAACTATAATGACTTGTTTTTGGTAGATATATAAAGCATACCTAGACCAAATTTCAAATGATTTGAGTGTAATACCAGGTCTCCAAGACCCCAAATGTACACATAGTGGTGAAGCCATAAATATATTTTCAATCGCCTAACTTTTAATAGAAAGGACTCAATGGACGATTGCTACAGAGGGATATAAGCTCACCATTGTTACCTTTTTGTTCCCTGTGTCCAGGTCAACTATGAAGAGTTTGTGAAGATGATGACTTTAAAATGAAGCAGTCGACCTGTACATCATGATCAGTTATTTCGTCTTTTAACTTTAGAAGAATAGCCACTGAGGTTGTGGGTGGTGTAGCCATTGTTTCTCACGTAGTTGATTCAATACTACACTATTTATTTCTCCATAATAACTACTATTGTTCACGTTCTGTAATGAAATAGTACAGTACTACCACTAGAATGTTTTAATGTAATTTCAATGAACATTATCTTGGAAGTTTATCTGTGTTGGTAGAAGTCCATCAACATTGTTCATCTAATAATATAGCTGACAGGTAACATGCACTTTTGCATATCTTCTCATCAAAATATTTTCGATTACAATTAAAGGAATTAAAATGGAGCACAGGAATGAAACTATCCTCGATTTAATCCAAGCTCTTAAAGATACCTTCTCGTCATATGACCAAAAGGGCTAAACGTTCTAGCCAACACTAAGTAAATTGTGACCTTCCCAAATTTTCGGCCGATCTCCGTCAGCCTTCTTCAAGGAATGGACCCGTCTACTGCATCTTCCGGACGTGACGTCGGGAACACGTGATTGCAGCAGAGGGTCGTACGCGTCAGATAACCTGTGTCGCCCCCCGTCACAGTGTTCAGTGTTGGACGGTTGGCCCGAATGTACACCGCCTCCTTTACTCCTCTCGCAAAGAAATCCGGTTCTGAGTCCAGAATGTTCACTTTGTCCTGCGAGACGGAGTGTCCTGGAGATTCTATGTGTGTATGCTGAGATACTTCGGGCTAACCGTCCAACACTGAACAGAGACGGGGGGCGACACAGGTTATCTGACACGTACGACCCTTTGCTGCAATCACGTGTTCCCGGCGTCACGTCCCGGAAGCTACAGTAGAAAAGTCGGCCGAAAATTTGGGTAAGTCCCAATTTACTTAGCGTTGGCTAGAACGTTTAGCCCTTTTGGTCATGATGAAGTATACCAACACAGATGAACTTTCATGCTAACCTTCTCGTCTTTTTGTTGTCCGTGAGATCTGGGGTGAACAAATACCTGTATGGGAGAAGTGATTCACGTCACTGAGCATCGCCCCCCCCCCTGCCTCCAAGGTTATCGATTGCAACACTTCATCAAAGACTTGTGCTATCCTTATTGTTTGAATAATTAAGATATGTTAGGTTTTATTCGACATTAGGTCTAATTCAACACATTTATTTTATTGTTTGTTACTCTATGTAGTTTGCCATACATTGTACCATGTGCAATCGTCGTGCAATAAAGGTCTTATTAAAGTTCTTCTAATATGCACCCGTTCATCGTTAACATTTCAACATTTAGAATTTTGCACCATGATATATTTAGTCACTTGTACTTGTAGCAAGGAAGATGAGAATACATGTACAATGTACATACAAAATTTGAATAAAATATCCAGTTAAAAATGTGCTTTTTGTTTCTATGTAAGTGATCCAGTCAATGATACAGTACGTTACTATATTGCTTGTCATGTCACTTTACTACTCCTGTACAGGGCAGACACCACATTTGCGTTGCGCAGTAGAGGCCTCAATATTGTAGTGCCTAGTTAATACCTTTGAAAATCCTTTTTTCTCTTGAAAGTTTTGGTCCATTTGGGAGATTTTTGGGCTGGAAGGCACAGGTAGGGTCTAAACGTTCCTACATTGGTCAAGTTTTGTTTATTTCACCAGTTTAGTGGGCGTAATGAGAGATGTGAGTGGTTAGGTCTTGTCTGGCCAGGCGGATGGATACCATGGAAAATGTAGGTCAAAGTTGAAATTTTGTTACTATCATCAGCTGCATGTGGCGGGAATTTGAGGTGGTCAACCCCCTGTTTCCTTTCTATATTTGGGAATCAGACCCTTGTGGCTACCTGGTGCAGAAAAAAATTGAGATTGAAGTACTTTCATGAGGACTTCTAATAGTGTATTTAAGCATGTGTTCCTATGGCCAAATCTAATAGTACTGCCCTGTAATACAGCTCAGTAACGTCCTTCAGAAGCGACAAAACGAACGGTCCATTTGCTGATAATTCCAATACCTAGAAGTGTCGCGTGACACAGATAATTAATAGGCAAATCGAAGATGACATATTTGTTATTGAATACAGAGATCATTGAGGTTGAAGACTGACCCCTGACCCTCTGACCTTTGACTTCCCGATTTGCATTTATGATATACAGTAGTAACCACAACAGTGCCTGTAGTTACTGAAGCAGGGTGGTCTCTCACAGAACACACATCTACTCACGACTGACACGGTGTCGTCCTTTGAAACATCCAAGTCTCAACGTTTTAACCAAGAGGAGCTCACCAGTACCACTGTATCCAAGGTATCTGACAGTTTTGTTTTGTTTTGTGGGGTTCGGAGAATTTATCAGGTGCGTTAGTGTTAGTTTTTTTTCTTTTTCTTTTTTTAAATTTGCAATTCAACATGGATAATACAAGACATGGTGGTGAGGTACTCTAGCTGTAGCTAATTTTAACCTCACCACCAGACATATAGGTATACAGCGACAAAACACATGACAAAAAACAACAGAGTACAGTAAATGGGTGGAAATGGATCAATAAATGGTAAGGAAGAACATGTTTTGTAGGCTATGTAGGAGTTAATCTAATACAAACCGTTTAGTATCAATAACGTAAGTTTGGGTGATTGTCAAAATGTTACAGTTTGTATCTGGGTGTAAATCGGGTGATCCTCTAAGTAAACTGTTACATAGGAATGCTAGTTGCTAAGACAAACCAACATGTAAGAGCGCGCCGAAGCGTACATAATGTATATAACCTGCCAAACCGGTTTTCTCTACATGTAACCGCCACCATTTTGTTTAACAAAAAAAGGGAAGAGAAAATGTAAAGAATTAATTTTCGATTGATGACATGTATTGAATTGGGAATTTTACAAAAAGAGCAATAAGTCTCCAATTGAGTTCTGATGTTTTTTTTAATGGACTCTTTAGGAGCTAAGTCTATATATGCAGTTGCAAAGTTTTGGAGGGACCTCTATAGTCTCTACCAGACTCCTTTGCAGGCTGAATAAATAGCAGGCAAACTGGACCCTCTATGGCCGGCCAACTCCTCTGGCCAATGATTTCCCCCTTTGCCGATTTCTACTATTTATTCAGCCTGCAAAGGGGTCTGTTAGAGACTGTGTATTGTTGGATAGGTGGCAGTCCTCTTAAGTCAGAGCAAATCTTTCGGTAGCAAATATCACTGTCCGTTTGCCATTGAGGGGTAAATTTAACAAAAGCAACATTTTTTACCTCCGGTGAAGGAGATATCCTTCCGCGGAAGGGTACTGTTTTTAATAATGTTTATGTATTCACAGTCGTAGCTCTATGTGGGTTTGGCGGATTGATATACATTTATTATTTCTTGGTCTTTCGGTAAATTGTGGTCCAGATGATGCGAATTGCTTTTAGATGTCAAATTTCAGTAACCGGCTCTAAAACATAAAAGATACGACCCGTATGTTCGTGAGGGTGGGGCAAGGACATTAAAGACAATTATTGTCGAGACAATTTGCAGCACAGATTTGCATGGCTGATTACCAAACCGGTACATCCAGATTTTTCAGGCATTTTGCAAAATAGTCTCATTATTCCTCTGTATTCCAGCAGAAGGCAGGCACATAGCTGAAACACGTTCACAGGTACATGTTCTAAGCACGGCCGTTTTTCCCTCACGTTTGTGTTGTATAGGAAATGACCGAGGTTTTATTGTGTGGCAACTTGTTCCAGAGAACTTATGTGATCATCTTCATTTTTTTGTTGTTTTATGAGCACCAGCACCCCACCTGGCCGCATATGCCGTGCAACTCAACGTGAGGCCCGTGAGGGTGTTGTTCAGTAACCCATAGATGTAGATGTAGATGTAGATCAGTACCATTCTTCCATAGTGTATACAAGGTTTAGACTACAGGGCAGACACCACATTTGCGTTGCACCTCAAACCGATTGTAATGCCTAGTTAATACCTTTGAAAATCCTTTTTTTCTCTTGAAAGTTTTGGTCCATTTTGGATATTTTTGGGCTGGAAGGCACAGGTAGGGTCTTAACTTTGCTACTTTGGTCAAGTTTTGTTTATTTCACCAGTTTAGTGGGCGTAAGGAGAGATGTGAGTGGTTAGGTCTTGTCTGGCCAGGCGGATGGATACCATGGAAAATTAGGTCAAAGTTGAGGTTTTGTTAGTATCATCAGCCGTGGTGGGAATTTGACCTGGTCGACCCCCTGTTTCCTTTCTATATTTGGGAATCAGACCCTTGTGGCTACCTGGTGCAGAAAATTTTTGAGATTGAAGTATGGGCAAGTACTTTCATGAGGACTTCTAATAGTGTATTTAAGCATGTGTTCCTATTGCCAAATCGAATAGTACTGTCTGCCCTACAGTACATGTTGCTATGGGCGTTACTCCTGTGCACGTTATGTAAGTTTGAAGACTTCATTTTTATTCGTTTATCGTAATTTTTTTTTACATACATAGACATGGCAAGCCAACTGACAGAGGAGCAGATCGCTGAGTTCAAGGAGGCCTTCTCTTTGTTCGACAAAGATGGGAATGGCAACATCACTACAAATGAGCTGGGAACTGTCATGAGATCGCTGGGTCAGAATCCAACTGAAGCTGAGCTTCAGGTACGTTATTTCATACAGTAGTGAGCTTTAACTTGGCAGAGATAGAAAACAATAGTGTATCCAACATTGTATCAATAAAATTGTGAATACCAGCTGCAACCGAATAATTGTATGCTAATATGCTAACGTTTTGTCAGGATATGATAAACGAGGTTGACGCGGACGGAAACGGAACCATAGACTTCCCAGAATTCCTCACGATGATGGCCCGGAAGATGAAGGAAACCGACTCGGAAGAGGAGATTCGTGAAGCATTTCGGGTATTCGATAAGGTATACTGGTGTTTTTTTTTAACCAGGTTATACACTAGTAGCAAAATAGCATTCCAGTCAGTTCTCTTGTCTGATTCAGTCTGAAATATAATGCTTTTCGAGTCGTTTTCTCAGACCTTGACACTGTCGCATTGTCTGTTTTTCTCACACACTTTCCCGCCAAAAATTGACAGGATTGCAACGGCTACATCAGCGCCGCGGAGCTGCGTCACGTGATGACCAACCTGGGAGAGAAGCTGACAGATGAAGAGGTGGATGAGATGATCCGAGAGGCCGACATTGACGGAGATGGACAGGTTAGACACAGCAGTAGACATTGATTCTATTTTCTGTCTAAACGGGGCGAAAATATTAACAATCATAGTGGGGTCGTGTGGCGTAGCGGCGTTCTCGACTCGGAACCAGAGGCCCCGGGTTCGAGTCCTGACATGCCACCGATCTTGTGCCCTTGGGAAAGGCACTTTGCACGACTTTCCTCACTTCGCTCAGGTGTAAATGAGTATTGTACTGTCCCTGTGTTGGTGGCGGCATTAATATAAGTTGAAAAAACTTGAGTGTGCCGTCACCACGTCTTGTGATTACATGTTTCGGAATATAAAAAATATATTAACAATCAATCAAATAATCCTAAGCCTTTCATATGGTTGCATTTCAAACTAACAAAAAGTAGACGCTCCGAAGTTGCGTAAAACTATAATGTATAACATTTAACTCAGTAAACACCGAGGAAAGATAACTTTTTATCGTCTAACTTTAACTGGAAAAGACTAAATGACCTTGTTTTTTTGTGGGTATGATATATCTATTTTTTTATTCATGTATCAAAACATACATACAATGCAATGAACCACCCCTAACATCACAATAGTTCAACTCATAACTGATCATAATAATAACTGATCATAATAATCTAAATGACCTTGTTTGAAAAAGTTCAGAGGAAAATCTCACTATTGTTGTCTTTTTGTTCCCTGTGTCCAGGTCAACTATGAAGAGTTTGTGAAGATGATGACTTCAAAATGAAGCAGGCGTTTTGCATATCAGCTACTTTGGATCTTTGATTTAGAAGGGTAGCCATTAACGATATGGAATCATATCAATTATGTTACACATTTGTAGTAGAATTTCTCACTTAGTAATTAAAAACTAAAATAAACTCTTTATTTCTACATCACAAATATTGTTCACGTTCTATAATGGCATAGTATAGTACTACTAGTAGGGTGGTTTGAAAGCAATTTCAATCAACATTAATATTGTTCATCCATAATAGCTGGACTGATAGGCAACATGCACTTTCGTGTATCTTCTCATTACAATATTTTCAGCAAATAAAATGGAGCATAGGAATGAAACCATGCTCAATTTCATCCAAGCTCTTCAAAATACCTTCTCGTCTTTTTGTAAGGAAGAAATAATGACAAAGGATATGAAAATACTTCGTGTATAAACTAAGTATTCTTTTATTTTGTTCTTTCAAGCGTTAAGAGACGTAAGTTGCATTGTTTCAGAATCTATGAAGATGGTATGACCAACAAGGAAATGTAATAACAATTCAGTCTATTAGACGTAGCCCTCACAGGTATTACACAATAACTTTTATACGCAATACATATAAGTCGGTTAAGGATATATATGGACATCATCCACTTTTCCTTGACAACTTTGGTCTTTTATTCAAGTGTTACATTAAGTTGCCCCTACGACCGTCAAGGTTATGGGACTTACATACATTACATACATACATACATACATTAAGTTACAGTAATTAAACAGTAACAGTTACAGTAAACATCTGGGCACCAGGGCACAAAATGATATTGAAGGGACACATATACCATATACATGATTTCCATGTTGGGCCACAGCAAGTAATTTTTATAGATAACATCAGAGCGCGCATATTTTCGCATGATTTGTGAAAAAAAAAAAGAAATTTTGTTGCCTTCTGACAGTGGTCACCATGCCGAAAATGGGCAAAGATGTCTGTTGCCATGCCGGAAGGTGGATGGCAGATAACTATGAAGAGAGGAGACAAGAAAAGGCTCCGATTTAATGTTTTGTTTCTTACTTTGAAGCAGTGATTTGTGATGGTGGCTGTGTATATGTGATGTTCCCAGTTGATTGAGTAAAAATTTGAAAATGTAGGAATCTTGTTTTTTCGGTCCGCCTTGTTTTTTTCCGCCCGCTCGCATTAGATTTGGAGTCTGCGGAGGATGTAAACCATAAAATGTACTTGCTGTGGCCTTAGTTTACCTGACAGATTGACCCCTGAACCCAAGTCTTAATTTAACTATGCCCCCCGGGCATGACGCAATGCGACACCCAAGGTGTTCACTCAACCAATCAGAGACACAGGCTTAACTTTGCCTGTCAGGGTGTCTTCGAAATCTTACAGGCTCTCAAACAAGAACAGTTCGAAAGGACAGCTGAGACAAAGGTACCTAACTGTTGGGGTTTGAGGGATTTGGGAGAAGTCATTTATGTTTGTTAGTGTCAGTTCTACACTGTTGTGGCTATACCACTAGTATATAATGCAGACATACATGTAGTAGGTGTGTCTGTCATGCTGCCAAACCGGTTTGTTGTTGTTGTCGCCAATATGTTGGCAACACCTGTGACACAAAAAGCGACAAACTTCACTGCGTTTTACATTTTAGATAGAATTTTTGATCGTTGGTGTTCTGATTTTGATTCTCGAGGGTCTTGTGGTTTTGGTAACCAGTGGATTTGAGATAGCTGGTAGCCAAGGATATGCAATTCCGAGTCTGTCTAGTAGCACTACTTGAGAGCTAGCTGTATTCAATTGTCATACCACATTATTTCGCTCATATAGTCATGTAGGCCACTGAAAGGACATGAGTGGAAAAAGTACCGATTTGATGGAATATATAAACCACCATATCACTCCTAATGTGATATGTAGATCGGCACAAAAAAAAAAACAGAAATAGACAGTTAACATTGTATGACAACGTGGAATGCCCAATAAGAATAGCAGATTTTGACAAGGACGCAGTGAACTGTATCTTTCAACCTTTGTACAACCACTAGCACCCATTCTCTCGAATTTGTATTTTCGCCAGAAACTGCTCTGCAGTTCCAGAACAAGTTGCTAGGGGGACAAAATCCACAACATTTATTCCTGACAGAATAAGCTATCTGTCACCAAAAATGCAAGACCATAGCATGTTCAGGACAAAAGATACAAAAAAACGGAAGTTCTGCTACAGTACCAAGGTCAGCCAACAGGAGGCCCATATTTAACCTTGACCTTTATCTTCCTACGACCTACCAACATACCAAATATCATCACAATCCATAAAGGCGTTCTGAAGTTATTCTGACTAGAAATGTGTGGAAACACAAACACACACACAGGCAGGCACACAAACACGCCAAAAACAATGCCTCCATTTTTCATGGAGGTAATAAGTTATCTTTTCACAAAGACATGACAGAACAACTGACAGAGGAGCAGATCGCTGAGTTCAAGGAGGCCTTCTCTTTGTTCGACAAAGATGGGGACGGCGTCATCACTACAAAGGAGCTGGGAACTGTCATGAAATCGCTGGGACAGAATCCAACTGAAGCTGAGCTTCAGGTACGTTTTCTCATATAGTTAAACCATTCACGATGGCACAAGTGACATGTGCACAAGATACACATCAAATTAATACCAATAAATTATGAAGTTTCCATGTATGCAAATTTGCTTGCATGAGCAACGGGAGAATTGCTAATGTACTGACTTTGACCAAAAAGCAGCATACATTTGCAAGATGGACATGTGTCTCAGGAAAAACTAGTATATTATAAGCGTTAAAAGAAATGACTGATAGTTGATGAAGGTGTTTATAACTAAATGTTATACGTATGTAATTCAACCACAAAGTTAATTGTTAACCAACAACTTGCCTTTGCCTTTCGATAGGACATGATAAACGAGGTTGACGCGGACGGAAACGGAACCATAGACTTCCCAGAATTCCTCACGATGATGGCCCGAAAGATGAAAGACACCGACACGGAAGAGGAGATCAAAGAAGCATTTCGGGTATTCGACAAGGTACTGGTATTGTTATTTTCATTTAGTACATATCATGAAAGTTCATCTGTGTTGGTACAAGTCATTTTGAAATAAAGACCATCTCCTAGATCTCTGGAATGAATTTTCGGCTGACTCCTTCAACCTTGTTAACGGAATGGACCCGTCTACTCTTGGAACATGACGTCAGAGACACGTGACCGTAGTAGCGGGTCATACATGCCAGATAACTTGTGTCGCCCCCCGTCTCTGATGATATTTATTACAGCCGATACGGACCGAAAATTGTTATCAAAAAGTAATTTCTTTGTATCTTTACAAGTGATTTGTATGTATACCAGATATCTTTTTCTTTGCTTGCCTGAAATCTTTTTTCCCGCCAAAACCCCAGGACGGTAACGGTTTCATCAGCGCCGCGGAGCTGCGTCACGTGATGACCAACCTGGGAGAGAAGCTGACAGATGAAGAGGTGGATGAGATGATCCGAGAGGCTGATGTGGATGGAGATGGCCAGGTTAGGGAAATAAAAACGCAGTTTGTTGTGATTGTTTCTTTGTTAACAAACAAACAAACAAAGAAACAAACAAACAAACAAATAAATAATTATTCGTAATCATTCATTGACAGAGAAGGACAGGTTAGACCTTGTAGTACATATCAACGATTTTGTAGAACAGTGAACGATGTATTTTCCTTTGATACAAGAGCAGAAAAGTTATTTATGTTACTAGATAATCAGCTAGACGTCAATCAAAATCATTCTTCACGACACAAGCAGCGAGTTTATACAAAAAATCGTGCCTAATCAGAAGCTAGAAAATTATACGAAGAAATATTAGAAGTTTGTTTAATACATTGTACGAGTAAAAACAACGATAGTTAGTTAATTTTGTATCTGTTAACCGTGTCCATTCATCTAGTGTTGTTGTGACCTGTACTTAGCCAAGTGTGGCAGAAATGTGCAATGAAGGTCTTCATTCATTCATTAATAAGACATAAAAATAATCGAGTTACAGACAGAAAATTCTAAACCTCACCACTGCTCTGTTCCCTTTGCAGGTGAACTTTGAAGAGTTCGTGAAGATGATGATGAGCAAATAAAGTCAACAGCCTATCAAGCATTCCATGGGATTAGATTATACGAAAATAGAATCAAAATCATCTTATCATGCAGTAGTTTTAGTACAAATGTAGTAGGTAATCTTGTGGTACTTGCCCGAGGCTTACTTCCGGGTGTCCTTCCGCCTCGAGCGCGGTGCTTCGGTTTGACCTAGATATGCGTTGTATGCGTTCTGGGGGTGCTGTCGCTATGCCTCGCGCGACGGGCTATTGTGATAATCTCAGTGTTAGGATTTTCTTTATACTTTTCTTAAAAATACATCAGGGTTTTCTCTTTCCGCCCATATTAGTCATATTGGTGGCTAAATTCTGGATGATGGGTCTGATTCCACGTGAAAATGGCCAATTTTTGGCATCATTTTTCATCGAAAAATTCTTTTTGTCCAAAAAATTTACTAAAAATGAGAGGGGAAAGAAATTGAATTTCTATTGTTCTCGTAGCTAGAGGGATATCCTTCATTTGCAAACACAGTGTTTTGGCATTAGAGGTATTTCCTGAAAGAGACGGTCGCTAGAGTTGAGGGTATGCAGAATCGAATTGAGACCCAAAATAAACTGGGGTGTGCCCCCTTAGGGTGAGGCCACTGGTCTTTTCACCTCTTGGGTGGTCTTCCTCGGGGTCTGCTGCTGGTGGTATGCCTTATGAACTAAGGTCTTCGCATCACATGCCCGAACCATCTGTGCATTTTTGTGCGTATCTTGTCAATGATGGTTTGCCTTTCCAATTCATTGAAGTTTTCATCAGTGAATTCGAACCGATGTCTTTTCCACAACCAGTGCACACGTTGTTGTTAGCATGTGGTGTATGTTGCCTAGTAACATAATAATACTGATAAATTACTCGTTGAAACTTATTCCAACACTTGTTAAACTTTATTCCAACACAAAGATTACACAGAGATCAAATTTTCAACGACCACTCGCTGTCGCCTTCATCAGGATAATTAGTGACCAATCACTTCACAACGTAATCTCGCGAGAGTTACGGTTACAGACACGTGACCTTATTCACGCGAGACTTTACGGATACGCAAAATAAGGCCATAGCAAGTAAATTTTTTGGATGACATACTCCAAACAAGGCGGGCCGCAAAAAACAAGGTTCCTACATTCTCAAATTTTGACTCAATAATTGAGTAAATTTTGACTCAATAAATCAGTGAGAACATCACATATACACAACCAGCATCACATATCACTACATCAAAGTAAAAAAAAAATAAACCATTGAAGCAGTCTTTTCTTGTCTCCTGTCTTCATAGTTATCTGCCATTCACGTTCCGGTATGGCAACTGAAATATTTGCCCATTTTCGGCATGTTGACCACTGTCAGAGGGCAAGAAACATTCTTGATTTTTTTTCTCCAAAATCAGGCGAAAATTAATGCACGCGCTGATGTCATCCATAAAAATTACTTACCGTGGCCTAAGCAATTGGTCAAAATTCCCAGGATAATTCACTTGTTTCTCAGTGACTCGACATTGAACCTCAATGCTAAAGGTACTCTTCGATTGTCACTTAGATATAATGTGATCATCGTACTTTTTGCTTTGCATAAATAAAATCGAAATAACTGGTGAATGTTGTCTATTCATGATGTGTTAGGGTTAAAATAGCTAAATAGGCTGTGAGAGATTGAAAATTTGTGTACTACCTTATCGCGTAAACCAAAGCAAAGCAAAGCAAAGTACAAAGGCCTAGTATGATTGGGTAATGTTATAAATGTAATGATAGGAAATGACATATTCACCAGTTTCCCATCCCCAGAATGCTTAGCGAAAACAGGGGGGTCTAACCTCATTTGCATAGGCCAGGAAGGCATCGGAATGATCATGATAATGTTAAACAACTTGCTTTTCACTGTGTTTTGAGGTGTTGGGGCATTTTATGCTCAACATTGATTAAATTACTATGGGTCGAATCTGACAAAAATAGAGAAAGAAGTTTTTGTGTTCTTTTCAACATGGAACATGTGGTTTGTAACGTTATAGTATCATATAGCGTTACCACTATATACGTTACAAACAATTCATTCCAAAAAGCCCAGGAGCATGAATAACGTATGGATGGATGAATGAACATAAGACAGATAAGATGGCACTTATAACATATAGGGGCCTCTGTATGTAATTCAAGTCCACTTAAACTCTACAGTTGCAACCTCAGCAACTTTAAGAGGAACACAGCGATCCCATTGGCTAATGTCCACATGTTTATTTTTCCGTAGCACAGGTAGTTGCTACAGAATAAGCAAAAAAGGGTGATCAGCCCTAACTATTAATTAAGGCTAACTATACCTTGTCCCCTCAATGACCTCAAAAAAGGTACAGAACCAAGCTGCAAGATTCTGCACGAACAACTATCAAAGGGGTGCTAGTGTGACGGAAATGAGAAGAAACCTACAGTGGGGGTCGCTGGAAGACAGACGTAGAATGTCCAGACTGTGAATGACTAATAAACTGGTGGACGTACCAACCACAAAGTATCTGATACCGGCCCAGAAAAGAACAAGAAACAGTCATGCATTCAAATATCAGAGTTATCAACCAAGAATTGAGGTGTTCCAAAACTCGTATTTCCCCAAAACTATCGTAGATTGGAACTCGTTGCCACCAAGCACAGTTGGGGCATCATCACTAGAAAGCTTTAAACAACTCCTGCAATTAATTGTGCAAAGATTAGCTGGTGTGTTACGCCGAAGGGCGGTTATACCGGCTATATCGATACAGATTGAGTGTAACAAGTCGTTCGGTGTGATATAGCTAGCTGCTGCCGCGCCGCGTGCCTGCGAAGCTGGTGTGTTACGCCGATGGGCGGTTATACAGGCCATACTGATACAGATACAGACCAGTAGGTCAAGGGACGATGTTGGTAAGGCCATGTTGATTTGATTATATCAAATCCTCCGGGATTTGATATGTTGGTAAGGCCATGTTGATTTGATTATATCAAATCCTCCGGGATTTGATATAATCAAATCATCATTTGGCAAAAATTGATGCGCGCGTACGAATAAAAAAAAAGTTTTGCAAAAAAAAAAGTTGTTTTCATTATGAAATCTACGTGGTCATGAGGGTTGAACAAATGGGACAGAATATGGTTTGGCGAATAATCTAGTCTTCAAGTTTATTTCTTTACAATTTCGTCTTTTTTCGTTTGATTGTGGCATTCTACGACATTGGTATGGTTTTTTTGTAACTTACGGTATATTATTGCTCATTTTGCAACTGTTTTGTACGATTTACAGTATGGTTGAAAACTTTTCTTTTTTTTTTGGAAACGGCCGAAAATTCATGCGCGCGCGGATGTCATCCATATAATCAAATCAACATGGCCTAAGTAGGTAGATAGGTCAGAAACAATACATCATTTCGTAATGATTACCGAGAAGGCCCTATTTTGTGGTCGGTCCGGTTTTTCTGTATCAGTACAGGTCTTTATGTATATCAAATATAGTCCTCACTACTTCATTCGTACCAAACAAACACACAGACTGAGTGGGTGTGTTCAACCTCCCTTCCTTTCCAGAAGTATCTGAGCTCATTCTCATCATCTCGTCATCTGTAGATCTACTGAAGACGGTATGTTCTCGTTCTTTCTACAGTGTTCTCTTGGCGGAGGGTTGTCATAGATTGCTATTTTGTCGGCACGGTGGCGTCGGGTGGCGTGGTGGTAGATCATTCGACTGTGAACCGGGAGGCCCGGGTTCGATCCCGAGTCGTACCCGGGACATGTCTGGACATGCTGCCGACGTTGTGTCCTTGGGAAAGGCACTTAACACGACTTTCCTCACTCCACCCAGGTGTGCATGGGTACCTAACTTCGGTTGGGGAAAGTCGTATTGAGGTCACCTTGTGGCGCCGAATGGCAGCCGCACAGACCCTTGCGGCAGTTCCACAACAATGTGGAACAAATATGTATCATGTGTGTTATGTGTGTCATTTATGTGTATTATTACCATTTGTATCATCTGATTGTAAACCCTGCATCAATTCAGCGCTATAAGGCTGCGATTGCACGGGTGATGTTTGGCCAATAAAAGAGCCTGATCCAAAAGCAGCCATTTGCGAGCGATAACAGTTTCAAGGCGTTGGTTTTCAGGACAAGTCTTTCTTTCCGTTAAAATACATTCAATATCTTCGGATTTACTAAACATGTTTATCACAACAATAATATTTATTGAAACGACAAAAATACAGCGACTTTCGTAAGGTTTACTAAAACTATACATACAAAGAAGTTGGTACAAATTAGTTGACCTACATGCAAGTATATCAACTTGTAGATCGCTTAAACCCTTATTAATCAACTACTAGTTCTAGTATCCGTAAATAATTTCATGAGGTTGGTAAACGAATGAATAGCAAAATTCTTTGATCACAACCATTTATTTTTCACGAGCCGACGTTTCGATGACCGTCTGTCATCTTGTTCAGGGCAATTCTGACTGGTTTACTGTGCGCTGACGCTAGATGTTACTTGGTGCATAGTGCACTAAAGGTGTTACATATTACATAGTTCACAGTGCACTGTTGCATGGTTCACAGTGCACTTAAGTTAGTTTTTACTGTTAATAATGCATTTCAGAACGCAGTGCAATTGTGACATACATACTAGGCATTGTTACATCATAGGGACATATGCGGCTCGAAATGCTAAGTGTTTCTATATATAATATAAAATTTGTTAACTAACAATACTGCAGTCCCAAATAGTTTTAATGTCCTTTGATACATTTATCTAAATGGTTTATTTGCAAATTGACATAAAACTAAAACAACATTGCAGCCTAATAATACAAAGTATTGTGCAAAAAGCTGAATTACGTAGTTTTAGGGAACACACAAAATATCAATAATATTTACAAACTTAACCAAACTAAAAAACAAGAATATATACAATTGGTAGTTGGGTGATTACAGGTAGACTATTAAAGCACTGTTTAAGAGTTTTGCCAGGTATGCAATAGCACTGTTTCTGTACCTTTCAGATCTTATAGATGGTAGGCTTTAAGCCGGAACCCCCCTTTAAGTCCCTATTATGTACTTTATTGCGGGTGGAGGGTAGCCAGGGTCTAAACTTTGGTGAATTCAACAGAGATTTTGCAAACTTTTAAGTTAAAAGACACAATGATTCCCTTCTGGCTTTTAGACTGCAGAGTTTAAAAGTAGAGAGTGCATCCGTATAGGAAGTGTACTTATTTCCAAGAATTTACCTGTTTGTTTGTCTGATTATTGCTTCCCCCGATCTCCCATAGCAATGGCAGTCACACTGACAAAGGAACAAAACGAAAAACTCCAACAATTCATGAAAAACGACCAGGATGGCAATGGCACCGTCACTGCTCAGGAGTTGATTGACTTCGCTAAGGCTTCGGGGGTCAATCTGACCGAGAAACAGGAACAGGTATTATCTTCGTCTCTGCTTTAAGCCAGTACTAATATAATAACAGATGGAGCTCAGTAAATGTATGTTGATGCAGGCGTGAGAAAAAAAATGCACGTAGATGTATGGTTATACACTAAAGTCTTCAAACATTAGCATAAGGACATGATATAACCCTCTACTTTGGGGTCGTGTGGCGTACCTGTAAGGTCGTGGCGTAGCGGCAGAGTGCGCGACTCGGAACCCAGAGGTCACGGGTTCGAGTCCTGACATGCCACCGATCTTGTGCACTTGGGAAAGGCACTTTACACGACTTTCTCCACTTCGCTCAGGTGAAAATGAGTATTGTCCTGTCATGTATTTGTCCCCTGTGTTTGGTGGCGGCATTAATATAAGTTGAGAGAAACTTGAGTGTGCCGTCACTGGTGATTACATTTTGGAATAATTTTTTTTAAACCTCTACAGGAGTACCGTGACTGGGTAACTGCTGTTGACACTGACGGAGATGGAGCCGTGAGCGTCGAAGAATTCCGCGCCATGTTGGTAAACACTCAACCGTTTGATTCAGCGGCTGAGCTTTTCAAGACGTTTGACAAGGTACTGGGTATGATTTAGATTTGCCAATGGCAGGGTCATTGGGGTGTAATTTTGGCCCTGTTCATATGAAGTCAGTGAAAGCGCTGTACATGTGGTTTCCCCCGAAGCCGGTTTCAAGTGGCCCTATCTGAACGCTCCAAATCACTTTGAAAGCGCCTCGATCCCAAACTACTTCGGGAGGTGGTTTCGAACCGGTTTTCCCGGATCGCGATTTGCGTCTGAACGCAATGTGATTTCAATGTGACTTCAGCTGGTCATGGATTATTTACGGGGTGATGTTTCTTTATTTATATGCAATACCAATATTTACGTGGCCACAACTTAATTAAAAATAAAGAGCAGTAATGGTCGAATAGTGTGTCATTCTTGGACGAGCTTCTGGCGGGACCACGTCGGCACGGGGGGCGCCAGCAAGCAGGTCGTTGACCCCTGACATTGATAACACGCTACCTTGCGTGTTTTCACCAAAGAACAATTAATGTAGATTCGAAGAGTCGTGATCGGACACGGTTTGAAAGGAATGTATGGCAAGGTGGACCAGATGTGAGGAATGCGAGTTACCCGACTCGCGGTTCGGGTGGTTTCATATGAACAAGGCCTTTGTTTGCACACCATGAAGTCGGTTAACACGAAACGTCTGATTGCTTTCCTTTTGCAGTCAGCAAATTAGGAACACCATTTGCTTCTTTGTCTCAACCTTTGTTTGGTCAGAAAAAGCTCAAATCTCCTGAAAGAGAAGTGATAAGGGTCAGGAAAATGTATAACAATGGTATATTTTGCATCATTTTAAGTCCTAATGAAATAAATGTCCGACAAAGTAGTAAAACATTGAACTTTATTACAACACACAGTTTACAGAGAGATCAAATTTATGTCAGACAAGTTAGGGTCTAGTTTGTTTTCTTCTAATAAAATATTTTTCCACCAACAATTACAGGATGGCAACGGCTTCATCACTAAGGAAGAAATTAAGCAGGGGATGGCCGCCATGGGCCAGAAACTGACCGATGCAGAGGTGGACGAGATTATGAAGAACTGTGACACAGATGGGGATGGCAAGGTAAGGTTTGGAAACGTCAATGATTGAATGAATTAATGAAGACCTTTATTGTACACACATACCCACTAGGTTAAGCACAGGTCACAAGAAAAGGATGGAATACAGATAACGTTACATATATATATATACATCGTTAAGTAGCTATAATTAAGTAATTAAGTAAATTCGGTTTCTTCTCGTTTCTTAGTAATGGTAAAAAGGTAAGAACAGGTATGTTTCAATATAGAAGGTTTGTCTAAGCTCATTAGAAATATATAAATTTATCTGTACAGCTTAGATGTATGAAGAAGGGGAACATAGATTGTATCAGATTATAAAGATCTACTCTCTCTTTGTGGTATAGTTTATATTCTGTTACAAAATGTTTCTCATCTTCGATTCTTCCTAGATCACAGTACCGACATATAATCAACTCGTTCCCAGGGTAGTTTGCTTCTCCCAGCATGCTATGCGCAGAAAATACGTTCTCTTTCCCCAGAATGTACGTCCAAATCGGCTCGTTTAAAAAACTTTCGATTCTTCTTGTTTATAGATCAACTACGAAGAGTTCGCGAAGAGCTTCGCCTGAGGAAGAGGAAGAGTAGCCCAACATTCGTCAGATGATTCTTGAGTTCCGGAATATCGTCGAAGTTTTTTTGCTTCCAAATAATCATAAGTAGCTCTAGGCGCTATATAGTTGTGTTGATTACGGTGGTTAGGTAACACAGGCAGATCAAGGTTAATTTTCCTTATGTTTGACATCGTCATTTTATATGAAAAAAAGCAAGGCTACAATGTTTACACCACTTTGAGGTATATCTTAGTGTCTATTAGAAGTTGTGGTCTTAGCTATCTATGGATGGAGACTTCCTTCTTTGTTCTTTCTTAATTAAGTGAAAGTCTTAACTACTGCGCAGCACACTAACCTAACTCGTGTTAATTTCTATGTAATGCTGGGATCGTCTTCTCATGCTTCTGTTCTTTGAATAAAATGGTTGAAGTACAGTTCTACTGAACATTATTTGTTTCAGAGTCACATTCTGTAGCAACGAACAGGGTTCCTTGCTGAACTCAATACTATTATGGAATGTCTGAGGTAATGGAATGGATGAGGTAAAAAGATGAGAACACTATAATAACAAGTAAGCGTTAGGTCATTGGGCAATGATAGAAAATCATAATGTTTCACAGTTGTCCTGCTGACATTCCTGGCACAATATTTTTCCATAATTTCATGTCTTAATTAGATCATAGACCCACAAAGTTTTTGCCATGCAGTTGCATACTTAAATCCGCATTCATTGCGTTTCTCGGTGGTATGATGCGTTGCACGTGAAATACCCCCAAATCGTACCTATACAGGGTGTTATATAGATGGTACTGTATGTGCAGAACAACAATTGTTGTGCTCCGCGGCAGGACAAGGGATTTATTAAGCCAACCATTCAATTATGAAATACTACAATCCGGTAACGATGACCAAGAAGGCCGTATTTCGTGGTCGATCGGTCCGGTTTCTCTGTACCAATATAGATCTTTATAAATAGCCCTCACTCCTTCAGTCGTACAAAACACACAGACTGAGTGGGTGAGTGTGTCCGACCCTGCCCTCTTTCCTCCAGCAGTATCTGAGCTCATTCTCATCATCTCGTCATCTGTAGATCTACTGAAGACGGTATGTTCTCGTTCTTTCTACAACAGTGTTCTAGGGGATAGAGTTGTGATAGATTGCCATTTGGTCGGTACCTTGGTCCCTTGGTCCCTAGATGGTCAGACACTCCACCAGATGGTCAGACCCAGGCCAGGGTCGTGGGGGCACTGCATGGTGGAGTGTCTGACCATCTGCCGCCATCCCTCTCGGCTGTGAGCTAGAGTTAGGGTTTCCGCAGGTTATTTTCCTGTCCATTCTTGGATATTGTCGCGCCCATTTTTTCTTCTGCCTTCCCCTTTTTCTTGCTCCTTTTACTGTACCTTGAAGGATTGTTTTCGACAGTCCATGTGATCTCATTACATGTCCATACCACTTAAGCTAATAGATACAGTGCTAATAAAAAGCACCCATTTGCGAACGGTAACAATTTTCAAAGCCTTGCTTGGTTTTAAGGATTTAAACCTTTCAGATTTTAACATTCATCAACATCTTCGGATTTTTTAAATATCTTTATCACAACAATACTAGTAATACATCGACTTTCGTAAGGTTTACTACTACATTATGAATACAAATGGATTTACCCACATGTTATATGAATAAATCAACATGTTACTACTACATGTTTAAACATTCTTTGATACATTTACCTACTTGTATGTCTGATTATTTTTCTCTCGATCTCATATAGCAATGGCAGGCAAACTGACAGAGGAACAGAAGCAAGAACAGATCAAACAATTCATGAAGAACGATCTGGACGGCAATGGCACCGTCACGGCTCAGGAGATGATTGACTTCGCTAAGGCTTCGGGGGTCAATCTGACCGAGAAACAGGAACAGGTATTATCTCTGATTTCTCCCAGTACTAATATATTAACAGATGAAGCTCCGCAAAAGCTCTGCAGTTTCTTTGGCGTAAGAAAAATAAATAATAATTACAAGTAAATGTATGGTACACCGAAGCCTCCAAAATATAGAAAAAGACAGAATATACGGAATGAAAATGATAATGAATGCGCCGTTTTCGTGATCACCTTAGATAAAACTGGAGTTCGTGTAACATATGCTTTCGTCAGGTGTAGATATTATAAGTTATAGAAAGTTTGTTGCAAATACATGCCCGAGGGCTAATTGCAGTTACAAACAACATAAGAAAGAAAATACAGTGGTATGTGAGACTATATCTACGTCTAGCATTATACTATATTCTACAACATACATGGTACTAGTTTTACTGGATTTGACTTCTTCTTTTTAGGCAATGGAAGACGAATTCACCCACTTCTTCTATAATATGTGGGTTCTTTGATTTTAGTAGTAATTGTTTTGTGGTAGGGAATGGTGGGGAAGTAAGGGAGTATTTTGGACACGGTGGTAAAGAATTGTTTTCTGATGTCGTCAGAAAAGGGACAGTTAGAGATGAAATGAATTTCGTCTTCCATTGCATTTGAGGAGCAATATTTACAAATTCTCTCCGACACAGGTAGTTTCATATATCGCCCTTTTTCGATTTCCAAGGAGTGTCCTTTCGCACCAAGTCGGCCTTGGGCCCAGCCTGGGTGCCGACATGTTACACAAACACACTATCGAAGACATAACTTGTATATATATAGACTTCTTGCTTGGTGAAAAAATGTACAATGTAGGTCAACCTGCAACATGATCTGGTAGTCACTGGCATTGAACCAGCCTGGCTGCCAGATCATGTTGCAGGTTTCACATTCCCATATGTGCCCTGGATTCTTGAATATGTTGTCATTAAGTCCAACAGAGAATTATGACCCCCTCTACCAGGGGTGCCAGAGTGCAATTTTACGGAATACAGTGCAATTTTACTAGTGACGTTGAATCACGTGACTTGGACCCTGCTTTCCCTGAGTTTCAAGATGGCGGACGCCGCTGACTCACATATTTCCGTCTTTTTCGAGCGAATTCGAAATGATCCCTGTGTAGTACCATGCCCAGTGTGTAGTATGTAGTGATTTGAGTAAAGGTATATCTACGAGAACAGTCCAAATTTGCTCGAAAAACACAGAAATATGTGAGTACGCTCCGTCAGCGGCGTCCCTGGAAAGCCGGGGCCAGGGTACGTCATTCAATGTCACTAGTAAAATTGCACTGTATTCCGTAAAATTGTACTGTATGTCAGAGATATTCTATATGTTACTATCATGCCCTGTCAACATTTCCACTTATATAGGCCAATTTGTACACAATTCAATGTCAAAAGGAGAAAACGTAATTAATTCCTGACACAATTTATTACTACATTGTATTAATAGAGTTAGATTAGTATAATTAGTGTCTCTCTTTCGTTATACATTGTTTATGAAGCAGACCAGATTCCTATTACAGTTAGTAGAACTGTTAGAAATAACTTAGATATTCTCAACACCACCATATGTGTATGTTGACACCACAAACTATGTATGTATCATTTTGCCATACGTTGTACCCGCTACATATCTGTAGCGCAATAAAGTTCTTCTTCTTCTGTAAACTAATACGATTGTACTGTATACCGTAAAATTGCACTATATTATACTAGTAAACCTGCGCTGTATTTCGTAAAATTTCACTGTATACTGTGGCACCCCTGTCTACAGGAGTACCGTGACTGGGTAGCCCGTGTTGACACTGACGGAGATGGAGCCGTGAGCGCCGACGAATTCCGCGCCATGTTGGAACAGTCTGAAACGTTTGGTTCACCGTCTGAGCTTTTCAAGACGTTTGACAAGGTACTGCCGATGCATGGTGTTGCATTATTCCAAAACGTGTTCCATTCCAAATCATGATTTGGAGTAAAATGAACTGGAATGCGCCTGCATTTCAAAACGTGGTCAATTCCGAAACAAGATTTGGAATGGAACACGTTTTGGAATGCAACACCATACTGTCCATACTGTACATGGTTGAAATTTCCCAATGGCAGGGTCGTTGGGGTGTAATTTTGTTTGCACGCCATGAAGTCGGCTAACACGAAACGTCTGATTGCCTTCCTTTTGCAGTCAACAAATTAGGAAGACCGTGTGCGACACCGTTTGTTTGTTTGTTTGTTTTAACCTTTGTTTACCACAAGCTCAAATCTGCCTGCAAGCCACTTTTTCGAGGTAATGAGGGAAGAGATAAGGGCCAGGAACATGTGTTGCATCATTTTAAGTCCTAAAATAGTTTGGATCCAGTTTATTTTCTTTGCATGAAATATTTTTCTACCAACAATTTACAGGATGGCAACGGCTTCCTCGATAGGGAAGAAATTAAGCAGGGGATGGCCGCAATGGGTCAGAAACTGACCGATGCAGAGGTGGACGAGATGATAAAGAGTTGTGACATGGATGGGGATGGCAGGGTAAGGCTTGGAAACGTCAATAATCAACTCGACCTCGTTCCTAGGGTAGTTTGCTTCTCCCAGCATGCTATGCGAAGAAAATACGCTCTCTTTCCCAGGGACGTCTGTTTGTGTGTGACGAACAGAGTCAGCAATAGGCCTCATGCGGCAGTATAATGCATTACACAAAAGTCACCCACATCTAGTATATTTGTGGAGGAATGTGAGACTCCTAAACGTCATATCCCCCCTCCCCATAGAATTTTGAGGAGGGTTAAGCCTTCTCGGCGGCGCTAGCATGTTTTAAATCTAGCAATGAGCAATCCACCAGTTTCCCATCCCCAGAATGCAATGCGAAATTTGCATAGGACTGGAAGGCATCGGAATGATCCTGTTGACGTTAAACAGCTTGCTATTTGTTGTCAGATTCGGCCCATAGTAATTTAATCAATGTTGAGCATAAAATGTCTCAACACCTCAAAACAGTGAAAAGCACGTCAACAGGATCATTCCGATCGATGCCTTCCAGCCCTATGCAAATGAGGGTTACCCCCGTATTTTCGCATTGCATTCTGGGGATGGGAAACTAGTGAATCGTGGTGGAGAAATTAATGCCGCTTTTTTCACAATTACAACATGTGCATGTAATCATTCACCAAACAAAACATCACTTTAATTCTATCAGATTGAAATATTTGAAATACATTGTACTAGAATTTACGTTCTAACTGTGGCTCGTTTAAAAAAACATTCGCTTCTTATTTTATGTAGATCAACTACGAAGAGTTCCTGAAGGGCTTCGCATGAGGAAGAGGAAGAGTAGCCCCACATTCGTCAGATGATTCTTGAGTTCCGGAATATCGGCGAAGTTTTTCCAAACAATCATATGTAGCTCTAGGTGTTGTATAGTTGTGTTGTTTACAGTGTCTAGGTGACCCGGTCAGATTAAGGTTAATTTTCCTTTATGTTTGACATTGTTATTGTAAAAGATTGTAAAAAAACAAACAAGGATACCATGTTAACGCCACTTTGCAGTATATCTTAGCTGTGATGTATTTTGTTGTCATATTTAGCCGTCATATGGGATGAATATTTCTTTGTAACTTCTGCATGGGTCACTAACCTACCTCGTGTTAACTGGGATCGCCTTCTGTTTCTTTTTATAAAATGGTTGAAGTACATCCGTAAATAATTTCATCAGGTTGGTAAACGAATGAATACCAAACTTCTTTGATCACAACCATTTATTTTTCACGAGCCGACGTTTCGATGACCGTCTGTCATCTTCATCAGGGCAATTCTGACTGGTTTCTGTGCACTGACACTAGATGTTACTTGGTGCATAGTGCACTAAATGTGTTACATAGATCACAGTGCAAGTAACGTCTCGTGTCAGTGCACAGTAAACCAGTCAGAATTGCCCTGATGAAGATGACAGACGATCACCGAAACGTCGGCTGGTGAGAAATAAATGGTTGTGATCAAAGAATTGTGCTATTCATGGTTGAAGTACAGTTCTGGTGAATGTTATTTGTTTCAGAGTCACATTCTATGTAGAAACGAAGAGGGTACGATGCTGAAACATTAACGTTGTATGTTAATGTCTGGGATAGCCTTCTGTTTTTTTTTTAAATAAAGAAACGAACAGGGTGCGTTGCTGAAATGTGTCATGTAATGTCGTACATAAAAGCAAAGATGTAAATTGGCGAACACTATAACACTATAAGGCCACACCGAATTATTTCATGGATGACATCCCCTCACGTATTAATTTTCGCCTGTTCTCCAAAAAAAAAGAAGAAGAAAAAATCACGTCCTCTGGCCTGGGTCTAGGCCTGGGTATTCCACGGTAGTTAATATTGAGCCGGTTGTAACTCTGGAGGATGACACCCAGGCTACCGAAGCTCCACGACTCAAGAACTCAGTACATATGTACAATGATGTTCACAAATTCCGCAAAAGGCCAGCGCGTGCCGGCTTGTCGTATACAGACGCGACTCGCTATGTACTGACGCAAATTCATAATAACAGGAATACTCCTGTGGTTTAGTAGCATTTTTATATTTGCCGGAATTTTTTTTTATTCGCCCGCGTGCACTAGTTTGGGGTTCTTAAAAGGATGTCATCCATAGAATTAAGCCGTTGTGGCCTATCAAGGAAACGTCATTGGAAAATGCATGAAATTAGACACAAAATCACAATGTTTCAGAGTTGTTCGTAAGATGGAAGTCTTCCTTTTTACATAAAGTATCATAAATTACACCTTATCGTTCATAATGTCGCTGTCACACAATCTAAAGGCCAGTGACATGTGGCCAGTGACATGTGGCCAGTGACATGTGGCCAGTGCCCTGTGATGACCTCAGCCACAGGCAGTAATCACCACGGACACGATTGCAATGTCTTCACAAACAGGCCATCTATTATAAACCACAAGCTCTCGTTAAATCTTTACACATGTTTGAACTGAAATTGGACACTCCGAACTCCAAATTCGGTCATTTTACACGGAACGTGCGTATGTCTTCAAATACGGAGTTTGAGGAAAGTCGTGTAAAGTGCCATTCCCAAGGGAACAAGATCGGTGGCATGTCAGGACTCGAACCCGGGACCTCTTGTTTCCGAGTCGAGCACTCTGCCGCTACGCCGGAGGTAACTATGCTGCTCCAGATGTCTTACTGAGGGACGACTGCGTGTGCAAGATGTCGGTAGCTTGAGGAATGGATCCCCTCTACTATATACTGAGTAGTGCCAAAAACGTTTGACTCACTAGTACTGCGATCTAGGCAAACGAAAACAAGGACAACAGAAGCAAACAAGACTGAGGCAATAAAAATCATTGCCAAGGCGACGACTGAATGATATATATTATTTCATGTGGTGGAGCTAGCAATCTACATTACAATTATATGAAAAACAGATTTCCTTATCTTATCCTATGCACGTAGTGAAATTTACAGGATGGGTGGAGGAGGTGTGGGGCAATATACCAAATACACAAATAGGAGGAATCAGCCGGCCTAAATATTCTTGGGGAGGGAATTCGAATGTCAGATTCAGCTGTGCTCTCTGTCCATGGTGTGGGGAGAAGACAGATGACCAGTAATTAATCATGCCAGGCAGCCGGATGGGTGGCACGTGGGCACCCGGTGTAAGTTACCTGCTTGGTCAAAAAAACACATGGCCGAAGGCTACCTCAAAGCCAATTCCCTAGGGAATGCATTCGTGCAATTTTTTTGAATTCTTTCAAAGCGATCGTAGTACTTACACAAATGCCTCCGCCCCAAAGGCGTCGCCAACAAGAAGGTATCCACCTGCTGAGTTTTGCTTGGAGCACGTCTCATGAATTATGAATGATGAATTTCAGCAACACGTGGTTTGGTTGCTAATAAACAATGTTGCTATATAATCATCGCATGGTTTTTAATATAGCAGAACGATCAGGGTGTCTTCACATTGACGAGTGAACCGTGAACACAACATATACCCGTAATATCTCTACTCACGTTTGTGACTACACATCCTATCCATCGCTATGGCTGGAGCAAAGGTACTACAGATATTGTATATTTGTTTATTTGTTTATTTCAGTTTGCACATAAAAATGAAAACAGTATGTAATGAATATGTACAACCAAATGTGCGGGAGAACCCAAGAAACCTAAGGGTTTATTGAGTGGGTTCTCCTAAAATCCAATATGACCTCTTTTTACACACGTGTATTGTAAATAAGTGACAACGAATCTTAGAAAAAATAGTGTACAACAGAATTTTGAATCTATATATAATAGTTATCTATGTACATATTTCGAAGATTATGCAATTCCTTGCTGTTGAAATGAGGCTAGCTTAGAAGCTATATCTTTGGATTTGTTCTCAAAATATGACATTCTGTAAATACGAAAATGTTAATTTTTCCGTACCTTTTTTTTATATTAACTGGTGACAGTAGAAAAAAAAAAGACAGTATAAATGTACAGAGGTTGTAAACGACGCTGTATTTAATAAGGAATTGCAGTGAACAAAATATTTGTGTCAGTATTATGGACGCTGACACTATCTCAGATTGAATATACAATGTATCTAAATATGGCATTAAAGCATTAGCGTGTTATCAAACTACGTCTACAAAAATAAGTTGTCTTCTCTAGATACATGAGTGCCATATCGAAAATTTGCACCTTGTAACCTCACATCACCCTGGAATTCTTTTGATCTTTGTCGCCATTGATGTGATCACAGCCTGCATGTTTAATAATTCATTGGTAATTATAACACAAAATGGACGATATTCTAGAAAAGTTGTCCTTGTACAAAATAGTTATTAGGGGCATGACAATAACAAAACACTTGTCGCTACGTACTCGTTTTTATAAGTCAATGTATATCACGTGTATCTAATGAATGCCAAAAAAAAACAGTTACTCAGGCAACTGGACATGATTTCGGAAACGGTCAGACGTTTCAGGTAGCATCCACTACTTTTCGTCAGTGACTCTGAGTATCTGTTTTTTTTTGGCGTATCTTATTACCTGGATGTCTAACCCTAATGTTCGTATCTGAGGCACGATTCACTTTCAAAAACAGAAAAAAACAAAACCGAATGGCAAATCAACGATTTTAAGAATAAATTCAGCTACTTCTTGCATGATTAGTAATTATTAGTACAGTACTGTATAACACTTTGGCACTCTCATATACACAGGGAAGAATGAGCACTGAGCAACTGACAGAGGAACAGATTGCTGAGTTCATGCAGGTTTTCTCGATGTTTGACCAGAACGGCGACGGACACATCACCACAGCGGAGCTGGGAAACGTCCTGAGAGCCCTGGGTCAGAACCCAACCGACTCCGAGCTTCGGGTACGGGGTGTCATAGTTAGGCCACAGCAAGTAATTTTTATGGATGACATTGACGCGCGCATTAATTTTCGCCTGATTTTGGAGAAAAAAAAAACAAGAAATTTTGTTGCCTTCTGACAGTGGTCACCATGCCAAAAATAGGCCAAGATGTCTGTTGCCATGCCGGAAGGTGAATGGCAGATAACTATGAAGACAGGAGACAAGATCGAGGAGAAAAGGCTCTGATCTAATGTTTTGTTTCTTACTTTGATGCAATGATGGCTGTGTATATGTGATGTTCCCACCGAATAAAAGCCATTCGTACAATGATTGAGTCAAAATTGTATAATGTAGGAACCTTGTTTTTTGGCCCGCCTTGTTTTTTTTCGCCCGCTCGCATTAGATTTGGAGTCTGCAAAGGATGTCATCCATAAAATTTACTTGGTGTGGCCTTAGACATGTTTGGCTACACTCCAGAATGGTTCATAAGGTTGATGTGAAGATATACAAACAGATGAAAAATTACTAATGGATTTATTTATTTTCTGTGTTCTTTAACCAGGGTACATTACTCAGTGGCTTAGCACTGCTTTACAGAGTGACCCTGGGTACACACATACAAGACAATATATACTAGACAAGACATAATAAAACTTCAATATCACAATCGTAAACCGTAATCGAGGTCATTCCAGGTCGTCAGAGGCCACGCAACTATGCACACAATAGTTACTCAAGCAACTATATAACATATATAGATATGATTTTGGAAACGGTCAGACGTTTCAGCTAGTATCCACTAGCTTTCGTCAGTGACTGAGAGACCAGAGGAGAAATGCAAGTTAACGTTTTATAAGCACAAACTATTGATTGATATGCAAATAAGTGAAGACAATTTGTTGGAAGTCCAAAAAGAAACTAGCTAAAACGTCTGACCCTTTCCAAAATCGATCATATCCAGTTGCTTGAGTAACTGCTTTTTGGCGTATCTTATTACCTGGATGTCTAACCTTCATCGATGTATACACACAATGTTTTGAATTGCTGTATAGATGATGCAGTTCTAACAACGGGTGGGAATTTATTCAAAACCCACTGCACCTCTGATTTTACATATGATATTTTGTAGGATATGATAAACAAGGTTGACTTGGACGGAGACGGCACCACCAACTTTTCGGAATTCCTACGCCTGATGGAGCGAACGAGCACCAAAGAAAAAACCGAAAAAGAACTTCTGGATGCATTTCGTGCTTTCGACAAGGTAACATTATAGCTTGATAGCACTTGGCCTCATGTACTAGTAAATGGTTTATTGCTAAAAACACGACACAAATCGGCCTTGCAGTATGCACTGAATTGCGCCGAATTTTACATTCCACATACTCAGTAAAACTGACACTGTAGGCTAATATAATACATATACAAGTATATAGAAGTAACATTCAATAATTGGCGACATGGTTTTCCATACTATAAATATAGCGAGGTGGTTCGACATCAATAATATCAAAAACATCATTGTGCGGAATCGTTAAAGGTGAAACTCTCGAATCAAAACAGTTCATAACAGTTCAGTTTATAGTCCATTGAGGAGTTTAGCCAACATCGGCTTCGCACTCTTGGTGTATTTTTTGATCCCTCTGGCCTGGGAGTACTGGAGCGAGTTCCTCAGCTGCCGACCGTGAAGATGCGTAGATCTTCTGAATTTATTTATTTATTACATCATAAGACGGCTGGGTTGCCCCATTCAGCTTACATTAGCTGTTTTCCAAGGGGCCCCAGCATAATTACACAAGACATCGTTACATACAGTAAGACAAGAGTGTACAACATACAGTAACATAAAAGTCCGATGCGTCAAAACAGAGTCATAGTCCTATACTCAAAGTCCAAGCCATTCAAAGGTCATCATCATCATCATCGTGATCAAAGGTCATGATCAAAGGTCATCATCATCATCATCATCAAAGGTCAAAAACACGAAAATCAAGGAAATGGAGGTCCGAGGTCAGGTTCCATATGACATATGTTTCAAGCCTGCTTTAAACTGAGATAGTGTAGAATATCTAGCGCTGGTCTTTGTTTAGGGTCCCATTCAGCACCAAGGACAGTACGTATTATCATAGTCTCACATGTATCTGCCCTGTTTGCTGATCACTCATGTGTTCTAATGTACATGTGTCTCCATGGTTGATGTACCAATATAATGAGGCCTGGTCACATTATGATTAACACGCGAGCAATCAGAAGCACGTCGGCAGAACGTACTGCACCTGCGTGAAACCCTTAATGTATTGTACATAGCACTTCGGTAGAACGTCTCATATAAGGTTGTATTCGCTCATATAAGGTTAGCATTTCGACAGTAGTTTCCAAATGTTATGTTGGAAAGAATATACTCTGCAACAGCCAAAATTCTGATGCAACGTTGACCAAAAACCCAACGAAAAACGCGAAAATGCAGGGTTCTGCGCAGTCGCAGTACGTTCTGCCGACGTGCTGCAATCAGAAAACATATGGTGGGGTCATGTGGTCATGAGTGCTCGACTTGGAACCAAGAGGTCCCGGGTTCGAGTCCTGACATGCCAACGATGTTGTGCCCTTGGGAAAGGCACTTAACACGACTTTCCTCACTTCGCTCAGGTGAAAACGAGTATTGTATTGTTCCCTGTGTTGGTGGCGGCATAATATACGTATTAAAAAATTGAGTGTCTCCCCACCACGTCTTGTGATTACATGTTGTTGGAATATTAAAAAAAACAACAACAGAAAACAGCACACATCAGCCTAAATAAACTCCCAGCCAACCAGAAGGTTTGTGCAGGAGGCTTGATAATTCCACATAACTATCTGCAATTGGTCTTTTTTCTCCAGTCATTTTTTGTACAAAACGTAAACCAGAACGCTAGGTTAATGCACCGCACCCTATCTAGTATATGTATATTGTCGATTATTTGAAGTATTGCGAAATACGTAAATTTTCGATAAAGTGTACCTTCCAACCAAACTGCATACTTCTACTTTGCCCTAAAGTATCCCAAACTTTAAACTAGCCTGTTTGTGGCATGTACTCCTGTAGAAAGCGGAATTACATGTAATTACACTTGCACCTATATCAAATATTCAATGGGGCCCCGTTTTTCTTAGTAAATTTGGATAGTTCTTACTTTGGCACATTTCAGCATCAAGGACAGGGGCGTAATTACAATGCATCATCATCGACGTTTGAAAGCACACGTCCATATGACCCCAATGCTAGTGTAATAATCACAGGGATGAGACAGTATCCAGGAGAGGGATAGCACAACAATAATAGACAACACTAGAACCGACTGGGTCATACCATTCTAAGCACACATGCGGGGGTGTACATTGTACAATGGTACCTTGTTATGGGTTCACCACACCACGAAGTGGTGGTGAACCCATATTGCTTTTTCTGATGTTTCTCCTCCTCCTCCTCCTCCTTCTCCTGCCATTTTTTAAATGGATTCAGCTTCTTCATTTTAGGGCCCAAGGTCCTGAAATTTGGTATGGAGGTACAGTGGGCAAATACCCCTAGGCGTTTTTTAAATTATTGTGATACAGGCTTTTAGAATGGTTTTATTTGAGTTTTTTGGCTGTGTTATAGCAAATGTATTACTGTGTTAGTGTGCCTTGTTTACCACGTTTGGGCATGAGTCATCACAATGGAATGCAGGGCATCAACCAATAGGCATGCAGCTTTCCTCTATACTTCTTGCTGATTGGCTGTTGGGATTTAACTTGATTAACACCTGCACAGAGCATTTCCACCTGCACAGAGCATTTCTTGCTGATTGGCTGTTGGGATTTAACTTGATTAACACCTGCACAGAGCATTTCCATACTGACAGTATGTCTGTATTCAAGTGTTTTGGTAGGTATTTCAAGCTTTCCTGCTCCAGCATTGGAATGCGGAGCATGGACGTTTTTTATTTATTTATTTTGAAAATCAACAGTTTGCATTATGCAATTAAAAATCCTAACCAATAAAGTAGGGAATAGCTATCCAACTGTTGTTTTAGTTGTATTTTACTTCATATTATAGTTATATCAATGTAAATCATTGTTTTCCCTTGTGTTTCTCATTCTTTCCCTGCCATGTCGTAAAATGTGGTGAACCCATCGCTGTATTTGCTCCACAGCAAATATTGGCCTTTCTAGTGTAATGCTTCTCTTGTTGCCCAACATTATGAAGGATTACACCCCTGTACGTTTGGAACCGCATTGTGGAATCTGTTCTCTGTAACGTCTTTTGTTTAGTAACTGACCACAATTATGTATATATTTAACTCCTGTACGATTGGGATCGCATTGTTAATACAGTTGTTGTAACTACGTATACGTGAAGATATGTAAATATTGTACATTTGGTAATGCATCTATAGCAGCGACACCTGTGCTGCAGTGCAATGTGAACCAGTCAGAATTGTCCTGAGGGAGGTGACAGACGGTCACCGAAACGTCAGCTGAATAAAAGACTTGGTTGTGTAAAAAGTGTTTTTCTTTATTCATTATGTAGGATGGCAGCGGGTTCATCAGCCGAGCGGAGCTGCGTCACGTGATGTCCGGTCTGGGGATGAAGCTGACGGAACAAGAGCTGACGAAGATCATCCGAGAAGCCGACAGGGACGGGGATGGACAGGTTAGAACTGGGAATGATGAATGAGTAAATTAATGAATACATGAATGAGTGAGTGAGTGACTGACTGACTGAGTGAGTGAGTGAGTGAATGAATGAACGATTGGTTGAATGAGTGAATAAATAAATAAGTAAATAAATAAATGAGTGAGTGAATGAAAGAATGAACGATTGCATGAATAAACAAATGAATGAGTGAGTGAGTGAATGAATGAACGAATGAACGATTGAATGAACAAATGAATAAATGAACAAGTGAACAAATGAACAAGTGAATAAATGAACAAATGAGAAAATGAACAAGTGAATAAATGAACAAATTAACCCTTGTCCTGCTGGCATTCCTGGCACAATATTTTTCAATAATTTCAGATCATAGACCCCCAATTTTTTCCCTGCAGTGGCATAGTTACTTCCGCATTCGTTGCGTTTCGCTGCGGTGTGATGCGTTGCACGAGAAATACCCCCAAATCGTACCTATATAGATTAGTGTTATATAGATGGTACTGTATGTGCCGCGCGACATATGTTGCGCACAGCAGGACAAGGGTTTTAATGAATGAACAAATAAACATGAACAAATGAACGAATAAACAAATGAATAAATGAATAAACGAACAAATGAATTAATGATTGAGTAAATGAATGAATGAATGGATAAATGAAAATTCTCTTACGCTATGAAATTCTATACTACAGTACACAAAGCATTTTATAAATTTTGCAACATCTAGTGTGTAACGTTAACGTTACATATATATATACAGCAGATGTTGCAACAAGGAAAAGTTCAAATAATGCTGAAGAAATGTGAATTTACTAGACCTATATTGAAATTAGACTTTGTAATGATGTTACAGATAAAAATTGGAATTGTGAAGGCTTTTTGTATTCCCAACTTACTGTTTTATTTATAATTTTCTCTTTAGATCAGCTATCAAGAGTTCGTCAAGACGATGGGCAAGAAATAAACCTACCTAGATTGTAAATATCTGTATATACATATAGTATATGTATGCATATATACTTGCGTATACAGTTATTGTTAGTTGTGTTAGCTGTAACTATATTAGTCGCGATGGCCGTATACTTTCTTGCATTTGTTTTTGTGTGTGCCGATCCTTGCCATATATGCATGTAATCTTTAGAATCTGTACGACAATGTAATACTACTAAGGCCATGTTGATTTGATTATATGGATGACATCCGCGCGCGCATGAATTTTCGGCCGTTTCCAAAAAAAAAAGGTTTTCAACCATACTGTAAATCGTACAAAACAGTTGCAAAATGAGCAAAAATATACCATAAGTTACAAAAAAAATTAATAAAAACTATACCAATGTCGTAGAATGCCAAAATCAAACGAAAAAAGACGAAATTGTAAAGAAATGAACTTGAAGACTAGATTATTTGCCAAACCATATTCTGTGCCATTTGCTCAACCCTCATGACCACGTAGATTTCATAATGAATTTTTTTTTTTTTGCAAAACTTTTTTTTATTCGCACGCGCGCATCAGTTTTGGGGCTCCCGGAGGATGTCATCCATATAATCAAATCAACATGGCCTAAGTGTCGGTGTAGAAACATGTAGCGTACCTACAAATTAAGGAAAATATGTTTCGATTTTCTGCCATGGTTTCGTCGCCATTTGTGCTTTGTTTGAATAGAATTGTTGATCTTTGTCTCGAAAGCTTGGCAATAAAGAGATTTTGCTATCGCAAATCTGTCAATATAACTCTGTCTGACACGCGTCTCTTCATGGTAGATGTGCAGTGTCCCTGTGCAGAAGCTCCCTCTGTCGATGAGGTTGTGGTACAACACCTTCACAAGTATTAACACTTGATTGGCTTCGTAATCACACACAATAGCCTCATGTTGGAGGTAAGAATATCCATGACGTACTCGTAGCCCTGTTCAATGTGAGGTAGATGTAGCAAAAAAAAGGCTAACCGACGGCAGTGGAATAACGTATCGTCCCCTGTGTAATTGGGCGAACATAATCGCTGTTCACAACAACAGAGGACTGGATAGGTAAGAACAAATGGATGTACGACATACGTGAAACAGCAAAATGACCTGCCTTTCACTAGAACAATTACACCTTTAAGAGCTGAACACCAAATAAAATGGGATGTGCTACAGACACGACACGAATTATGCTACAGACTTGCTCAACCTAAGTTTGTAAGTGTAGCCTTTTAAGTCGATCACTAGCCTGGTAATTATTTCATCGTAGGCTCCCTGGTATCTCTACGGCGTTGGGTGTGTTGCCCGCCCGCCCAGGACCATCACCGCACGTCGGGGCATTTCAACGGGGTTTTGTTTTCAACAACTTAGCTCCAGGCAGAACATGAATGAATGAAGACCTTTATTGTATATTTTTGCCCCACTGAAGTAAGCACAGGTCACATTATACATATACATAAACAAATACATATAAATATAACTATTACATGTATATATAAACGCGTACGTCTAATGAATTCTAGTCTTTTTAACTTCCTTTCGCTTCTTAGTAATTGTATATTAATGTATGAGGCTGTATGAGTAGTTAGAATTGGTTTATCAAAGGCTGGAATATACATTTTTCTTTACTTGTATCCGAAGTGGGGAAATCAGAACCAGTACATATGGGGTAAACGTAAGTAAACACCAATGGGCATGTGGATGGATTAGCCTGGTATCCAGTCTTACGTGATTGGGGCTGTTGGGGTGTTCAGGCTGGCTGTGTCTTCGGGGGCTCTAATAGCTTCCCCCGCCCAGTGCAACAGGCCGTCCCGGTAGGAGTGTTACGACCACGATCAGATTGGATACCAGGCTATTGATAGGTAGGCTAAAACTCCTTGATAGTACACAGAGATTCAACTATGACCTTTTGTCCCAATTATCCCTTAGGCGTCGCTACTACAAGGACAAGGGAGTGTTTTTAAAAAGAGGTGGGGTCAAACTAAGAACGAGTGAACCGTGAACACGTGAACATTTGAGACATCTCTGTCTATCTACAGCTTTTATTCCACCGAAACTTCCGTCTCCTAAACGTGTACTGGAACAACCATGGCTGGAAGGGTATGTATTGTACTTCTAGAGTTGTGTTTGTAACTTGTTGCATGCTGTGAAACAGGGGTGATCACTGCCACAACGCGACGGCTGTTACAACTTGTCGGACGAGTTTTGTCTGACATGCTTAGTGTTGCCACCATATTGGATGTGTGTCAAGCACAAAAGCAAGACGACTAACATTTTACAGTCTTTGTCAAGCAATGTATCTTCCTCTCAAGCATAAGCGTATCAATCATAAAGCCATCAAAAGCCAATTCAGGGCACTGTAACTGGATTTTCATGTCATTTTTAGTGTTGTATCTTGCAACAATCCTATCTCATAGCTGTGTGTCAAGCACAAAATCCAGACGATAAAGATTATACTGTCTTTGTCAACTAATTCATCTTCCTCTCAAGTATAATGAGCGTGTCAATCTCAAAGCCATCAAAAGCCAATTTAGGGCAGTGTAACTGGGTTTTCATGTCATTTTCAGTGTTGCATGTATGTTGCAACAATCCTATCTCATAGCATGCTCGGTTAGTTAATTAGGCCGAAGTGACCTGGACTCTTTTTCTTATTTGCGAATAAAGAATGATTTTACTGATATCTGTGAAGCAAAATGCGATGTCGCAGACGGAAAAAAGGTTGTTTCGTATCGTATTAAACTATTTTAAAGCTGGTTCTAGCTATTCATTTGTCGTAGCAAAAGTAAAGGGACTCCCAAGTAGCTGGAACTCTATATCAAATGCTTCAAGTATGAAACGCTGACTTGTGCTAAGAAATTGCAGTAAATGTTAATATCACACAGATTTCCTCATCATGTCAGAATTTGCTTTTCCACCCTGAAATCACATTGGACTCGTTAAAGCTCAAAGAGTCTCAAGTTTTATTTATTGTTATGTTGTAAAATCGTGATACTAATCTGTAACTGTTATCACAATATGTCACCAAGGCCAAGTAAGACCAAATATCGATACCCTATCGTATTTACTTGTTGTAGCCAAGGCAATAATGGAATAACAATAAAAACTAGAACGGTAACATTTTCAAAGCAAATGCATGATGTTTACCTTCCCATAGGGTCTGCTCTGTTGATTCTTACTCAGATACATTCTTATACATGCTCAGACAGGAGTCTAAATCCCTCCTGCTATAGAATTGCAACATGATGTAACCCAACACTAGTTACCATGGTGATAGACTTTCTGGTTCAGGTCATTGACCTTATTGGTTTGGAGAAGAAGAAGAAGAGGAAACAGACAAAACAATATGCTTTCCTTCGGTAAACATGACAAGATAACAAATACATCAGAATTAAAATGTGCATGTGTTGCAGTGCATGTATATTTTCCCTTTTTTTATTGACTTTTGATGTATATTCTAACGTTTCAACAGGCAAAGGGAGCTGAGAGAATGACCGAGGAGCAGATCGCTGAGTTCAAGGAGGCCTTCTCTTTGTTCGACAAAAATGGGGATGGCAACATCACTACAAAGGAGCTGGGAACTGTCATGAGATCGCTGGGACAGAATCCAACTGAAGCTGAGCTTCAGGTATGGTTTTATTTTGATCTTAACTTTTGTTTATTATGATACTCTTTGAATATCTATATGGACATGATTTGACTGATGATAAGCTTTAGTATGCAGAACAGGAACCAGAACAGGAAAACACGATCACAGGAAGGCCAGACAAAGTGATCAGTAAGGCCACAGCAAGTAAATTTTATGGATGACATCCTCCGCAGACTCCAAATCTAATGCGAGCGGGCGAAAAAAACAAAAGTTCCTACATTTTAAAATTTTGACTCAACCATTGTACAAATGGTTTTGATTCAGTGGGAACATCACACATCACTGCATCAAAGTAAGAAACAAAACATTAAATCAGAGCCTTTTCTTGTCTCCTCTATTCATAGTTATCTGCCATCCACCTTCCGGTATGGCAACAGACATCTTTGCCCATTTTCGGCATGGTGGCTACTGTCAGAAGGCAACAAAATTTCTTGTTTTTTTTCCAAAATCAGGCGAAAATTAATGCGCACGCTGATGTCATCCATAAAAATTACTTGCCGTGGCCTAATTACATGATTATGTCGATCAAGAGATTTGTCCTTTAGAACTTTTTAAAGCTAAAAATTGTTAGTGTTTCATAGAGACAACTTTTGCTTGGTAATTGGCTCGTACAATCAAAAGAGTTACATATCTCTGTCCAGTCATAAAAAGCAAAGGGAAGGAAAATGAATAACGTTACGATACATGATAACACAAGTTATAAATAAATCTCGAATTAAGAATAACGTTCTCTAGGGGTCCTTAAGGACAGTTCAAATCAAAAGAAAGCAAGCATAGACAATTTTAATCTACTTATGTCATGTCCCAACTCCATATCTACGTACCTAGGTCAGTATGTATGTAGCCCTTTAGAAAAGAGAGAAATAATTGTGATAGACAGAATAATATTTAACGTACATCATGTCTATTGGCAATTTACGTTCATATCTATATATATATGTAGTCATGGTTTCCAGGAATAGACTATATGATTGTAATGATCCCATTGTCATTGTCAGTTGTACCCTGTACAACTGTCGAGCAATAAAAGTCATCATATAGCCAAATTATCTGCACTCTCACTCAAGATGACAATACAGGTGCTGGGCTTGGTAAAAATTTTAATGTACTACATTTCAAATCCACGGGTGGGAGGGTGGGAGGATTTTTTCGAGGATTTGCTAGAGTGGCTGCACTAACAGCACGCTACTAGAACGGAAACCGAATGCGACCTCGGGTCGGAGGTCAGAAGTCATTTCCGTGCAGTCAATTAACTGATTTGGTTCTGCGCCCCAAATACTGACGAAGACTTTGACCAATCAGAAGACTCCATTCCCCGTTGGTTATCAGGATGTAATCTAAAAATTGGTCGGTTATTAGAATAACTGACCACTTTTTGGACCGTACCATTATACAGGGGGCAGGGCACTAACAGTAGTGTTAAGACTTGTAGTATTCATCTATCAAAAACGTTTATTTTAGATGATTTACTTCAAAATACAACACAATTAGAAAGATATAAATGAACTTTAAACAGAGAAAGACTAAACATAAGTTTTGATTCCTTTTGATTCATCATTCATTCATTTACATGTTTGTAGGATATGGTAAACGAGGTTGACGCGGACGGAAACGGAACCATAGACTTCCCAGAATTCCTGACCATGATGGCGAAGAATAAAAAGGAGGACAACCAGGAGGCCGAGCTGAGGGAGGCGTTCAAAGTGTTCGACAAGGTGATTTCATTTCTGGCCTTCTGTTCTATGGCTAGGATCAATGTGCCTTAGAAATTAAGCGTGCATGTCATCTTAATTTGTCCCCACGGGTTAACTATGAAGAGTTCGTGAGTATGATGACTGAAAAGTGATTCCCAGCAATATTTTTTTCCATTTCAAGGAAGTTATTTCTTGCGATCTTGGTTTCCCTTGGTTTTACTTGGTGACACGCAACCGCGGGCGATTGGTAGTCTCCACCAGACACCTTTGCAGGCTGAATATAGATAGCCAACTGGACCCTCTATGGCCGGCCAACTCCCCTGGCCAGCTACATTCCTTTTCAGGCCGATTTCTATTATCCATTCTGCTTGCAAAGGATTCTGGTGAAGACTAGGCGATTGGTGCAAAAGTTAAACCCCTGCAACATATAGACGATCATAGTCTTGTACATGTCTAGACCATTGTCAAACTGTTCATTCCATAACAACGTTCGAAATGAATTGACTATTCAAACTTCTACAATTTATCCCAATTTCTCTAAACTTACAGACCAAGAAAAAACTATTCTTCTTTTAACTTCCCAAAACCCACAAATTTTGGAAAAGGTGGGACATTACGTCTTCCATGGTTTAGAGAAGAGAAGTCAAACCCTTCAGACAGAGTTTTAGACATAGTCATAGTTCTAGACAGCTACCTTTATCATGTAGACTTTAGTTATTTTATACTCTATTTCATTGTTCTTTTATGTTTTGTAATCTGCAATTAGCCTCCGGGCACGAATTTGCAATAAACTTTTCAATTGTTGGGAGTTTGTCGTGAACAATGTCCGGCCTGTGGTTCGGAGTTAGTCGGCGCTGTCTCCTAATCCTACTAGCCTTTAAAACTAATGATAAAATCTCCTTTGCCAAACGATTCTGAGTTTTGACCAAATCGAAACAAGTCACTACTCTTCTTTCAGTGCCGACCTTGGTTGGGGGGTGGGGGGACGTCCTAGGAAGGTCCAGATCGTGTGACTGCCGTTTAGATGGCCATCTCGTTCGAAGCTATAATATCGTCTTATCCCTGAGTTCTGGTTCTGTCATTCTAGGGAATCTTTTCTATATGGTCACTTTAAGTACATTTCAGTTTCAATTTTGTCAGGACGTATTAAAGCATTACCTCAGATATGACGAAGTGGAATAAAAACTTTACTGTGTGTTTCTCTACTTATCTAAGCCAATTTCCAATATATTTACAGGATGGCAACGGTTTCATCAGCGCCGCGGAGCTGCGTCACGTGATGACCAACCTGGGAGAGAAGCTGACAGATGAAGAGGTGGATGAGATGATCCGAGAGGCTGATGTGGATGGAGATGGACAGGTTAGGGAAATTAAAACGCAGTTTGTCGTGATTATTTTAAAATTATCATGAACGTTCTGTGTTGGTACCAACTTGGTAGTAATCATAGTAAAAAGTTGAACTTTATTCCAACACAAGGGTTACACAGAGATTATATTTTCAGGATAATTTCGCCTCATCAGGATAATTAATGACATAGATCACTTCAAAACGTAATCTCGCGTGTACATAAGGTCACGTGTTTGTAACCGTAACTCTCGCGAGATTACATTTTGAAGTACTAGTAATTGGTCATTAATTATCCTGATGAAGGTAACAGTGGTCGCTGAAAATATAATCTCTGTTTAACCTGTTTGTTGGAATAAAGTTCTAGTTAGCAAACAAAATTATTCGTATTCCTTGTATTTGTAATTGGCAAGACTGTGAAAGTTTGTTGTTAACTGTATGTGTTATTATTAGGAAAGATTCAAGGTATTGAGCAAAACAGAATTCCAACTATGAATAAACAAAGAAAATGTTTGCAAAGTAGCCGTGTTTCAAGAAGATGCACCAATGTAGCTCTTACTGTAAATACACGTCAAACATATGCATTTCATTTTTGGGCTTCTCTTCAAGGTCTAGCATCAACGTGTCATAGAAATTAAGCACATGTCATCTTTATTATAGAACTTTATTGACACAACAAAATTACAGCGACTTTCGTAAGGTCTAAGACATGTAGATATACAGACAAATAAACATGTTTACAACTAAAATATCCTACGTACAGAACAATGGGTGGGTCAACCAATACTACTTGTTCTAAGGTTTAAACAGTCTTTGATATATTTACCTATTTGTACACATTAAGGGTTATTGCCTTCTAGGATGAACTTAAATTTATCTACAGCATGAAATGTAGCAAATTCTGTTTTATCCCCACAGGTCAACTACGAAGAGTTCGTGAGTATGATGACCGGCGAAACACGGTGATTCCCAGCAGTAGTTCATCCATTTCAAGCAAATTGATTTGTCGCCATCTTGGTTTCCCAGCATGCAACGCAACCGCAGGCTGATGCTACTAAAGAATTCCCGTATTTGAATAAATATTCTTAGCGAATGTTTGTGGAATCTACTCATCATTAGTGCTTGACATGCTGCAATGTTAGAATCTGGAAATATTATTATTATGTTTACTTTCGCAGAAGGAAAATATAGTGCTTTGGGTCTGTCTCCCCAAAACATATAAGGTCAATGACCTGGACCAGACGGCTGTCACCATGGTAACTGGGGCCAGTAGATACCCTGTGGTGTTAAATTACATTCTGTTGTAAGTTGTAGGGCAGGGTTTCACTTGTGTTACATATATACGAATGTGTTTGAGTAAAGTAAGAAAAAAAAGAGCAGTAGTTTGGGCTAGACCACGTGAAGGTGAATGTTATGCATTTACTTTGCAATTGTTATCTTTCTAGTTTTATTGTTATCTTCATCTACAGCTACAAAACCATTAACTTAATAGTTATATACCCAAGCATTAATTTTCATGTCTGGTCATCCTCAAAATATGTTGACAGAAAATAAGGAGAGATAACACATTCTATTTTGTCAGTTAATTATTTTGGATTTGAGAAAAAATACGTTGTTTGAACTTTTATGTTGCCGTTTTGCCTTTGCATAGGTGAGCAGATGTTTCTGTGGAATGAATGATTGGGAAAATTTTATCAGCAATAAAGAAAACTGATGGCTGTGCACCTCTTTGTCTGTCATGTGTTATTATTTCACATTGGTGAAATTGAACATGTATTCAGGTGGTATGGATCCTCAATACCAACAAATTTCATTTCGAGAAAACTGAACTGATTTCGAACCTCTTCTGATAATTTCTCAAGATGAATTTTAGGTAACATCATATTCAGTGTCAATTTTTTGTGAACACTGAAAAGAAGTTATCTTACTGTCAACAAACTATGTCTTCTGTATGCATGTAGCTAACAGTTAAAGATCAATGCACTTGAAGAAGATACGTAAAACACAGAAAACACAGACAATATTGTTACAACGACCATCATAGATAATTCCTTTCTCAGCATAATTTTCATACATTCTGTCTATCTATCTTCACTGTAATAGTGCATCCATGTTTGGGACTATAATTTTCATACATTCTGTCTATCTATCTATCTTCATTGGAATAGTGCATCAATGTTTGGGACTATAATTTTCATACATTCTGTTTACTAGTATCTATCTATCTTCACTGGAATAGTGCATCCATGTTTGGGACTATAATTTTCATACATTCTGTCTATCTATCTTCATTGGAATAGTGCATCCATGTTTGTGACTATAATTTTCATACATTCTGTCTATCTATCTTCACTGGAATAGTGCATCCATGTTTGGGACTATAATTTTCATACTTCTGTCTATCTATTATCTTCATTGGAATAGTGCATCCATGTTTGGGACTATAATTTTCATACATCCTGTCTATCTATCTTCACTGGAATAGTGCATCCATGTTTGAGACTGACCATGAACAGTGAAGGTCATGGGGGAGGGGGGCAGGTCAGAATGTTCAAACCAAGGCGTTGCTTTGTTCTATTTTGTTGTTTTCTGGTTATGTACCGTTGTGTTAAGTGTGTTTTCTATATCTATTCTTCCTGTATAACCTATCTAGTTCCATCCGTAGTTCTTCTGTTCCATAGTTTTTATGTTGTTTACAAATTCTGACATTCGTAGTTTACCTGGCCCCACCCACCGAAGGTGTGGACGACCTGGGATACACGTGAGGTCATGGACATGTCTAGCCTGGTATCCAGTCTGACTCGTGGTCGGGGCCGCAAGAGCTCTGTCCCGCCCGCCTCACATAGGTTTCCCGGTGTGTATTTCACGAGAGATTGGTTAGCCCTCCACGAAATCCCCAAGCATACTGTCTCTTATTAGCGTAACACTCCTACCGGGGCGGCCTGTTGCACTGGGCGGGGGAAGCTATTAGAGCCCCCGAAGGCACAACCTGCCTGAACACCTCAGTACTCCCAATTACGTAAGACTGGATACCAGGCTAGGACATGCACTCTGACTTTTCCCCTCACCTGTGTTATTATCTTCCCAAGGATAACACAGTGACAGTAGTGGGCTTTAAGCCTCCTCAGTGTGCTATCTATTTGAAGCTCTCTCAATCATTGGTGGCCTTTGTGTAGAATCTATCGCGATCTTTGTGGACTAAAGGTATGTATAATTTTTTTCAAGCACAAAATGTAAACAGTTAACACATAGGCAGCATTGTGTTTACGTGATACCATAGGATAACTTGTTTGACAAGTTTAAAGTGCTACAGTCGCCTCCCCCTATCCCCATATCTTTACTACATATCTTTTCCATATCTTTAAAACAGATCTTATAATTATCACTAATTAGTCAAGGCTGCTAAACTACATGTAATACGAATGTATGCTATTGTTCAAGCTTAAGGCTAGCACGTGAATCTAAAGTCGATCGGATTTGGCCATTGCCAGCCTTGGTGTAGCGAAATGCTTACCGATACGTTTTGGCACTTCGACAATCTCTGCGATTAAGAATACATGACTATTGTTTTGGAGAAAAAAGGGGTACAATGTGGTAGAAGGAGAGGGATGTGCTCTGCCTTCTGATACCAGTGTATCAACGACCCACCGCCCCTACGGCCTGAAAACTATGCTATGGGACATTATCCTATCTTTTTACTTGGAGGGTGTCAGCAACTAGAGACAGTGGCGCACCCACCTGAAATTAGGGGCGTGCAGCATTCCATTAGGTCAAATTATATTTGAAAAAAATCAAAGAGTTCTGTATGAGAAGTGAACATGGGTATGATTTTACTGCTTAAACGTTGGAAACGAAAGAAAGGTCTCCCGTGCCCTTATGCAGAGCGTAGGGTGGTGCCCATATCCATTTCTGTAGCCCTTGGACGACACACAATTGTGCAATGCACTACAGCAGGGGGCTGGTCCGCTGGTAGTGCTGTGTGTTTGACCTTCCCACACCCTTTCTTATATGTGCTGAGTGTTAAGCAGAGAAAGAAGTGTGTACCATTTTTTAAAGTCTTTGGTATGACCCGGCCGGGGTTTGAACTCACGACCTCCCGGTGACTATTTGCCATATGACAGTGCAAAGACAAAGTCTATTCCATTCTGAAACACTTCTTTTTTCAAACTTTTTTTTTTCGTTATAAAAAAGCCATGGCAGAACAACTGACCAAGGAACAGATCAGCGAATTCAAAGAGGCCTTCGAGTTGTTCGACAAGGACGGGAATGGCTCCATCGACTTGGAAGAACTGAGGACTGTGATGACAAAGCTTGGACAGAACCCTACCAACTCGGAACTAAGGGTATGTAAAAATTACAAACTATGTAGGTCTGTGGCGTCTGTGTGGTGTAGTGGATAGAGCGTCGGACTGTCAAGCAAGGAGACCCAGGTTCAATCCCCAGGGTTGGACGAGACATGTACCCAGACGTTGTGCCCTTGGGAAAGGCATTTCCCCCCTCAGTTAGAGGGTTCCTGGGCCCCACTGAAGGGTTTGGGTTGGCGTTAGGAAGAGCATCCAGCCGTAAAAATCTTGCTTCAAAAAAGACTTGTACTTGGTGCAAGCACGTCTAACCCCCAGTTGGGGAAAAATGACGTTAAATTCGGTTTTAAAAGAAAGTAGCTGCATATGTTTCTCCCGGGCATCCTTACTATTGGGCCAGCTAGTCCCCAATCTCAGAGTCAAGTATGTCTCAATCATCTTTCCTATGGGGTCGTGTAGCGACAGAGCGTTCGGCTCGGAACTAAGACGTCCCGGGTTCGAATCCTGCCATGCCACCATTCTTGTGCCCCTGGGAAAGGCACTTTACACAAATTTCCCCCACTTAACTCAAGTGAAAATGAGTATGCCTGTTTTCAGCGTTGGTGGCGGCATAAAAATAAGTTGGAAAAACTTGAATGTGCCGTCGCCATGTATTGTGATAAAGGTTGGAATAGAAAAGATCATGATAAATCCGACTTGCTGTTAGTCTGATCAAGGAGGTTAAATACAATGGTCTGATTCATGTAACTGGTAACCTTGTACTGGCCTTCGGTTCACCCCTTAAAGTGGGCTTCGGGTCTTTTTACGTGGTTAAAAAAACGCAGATAAAAAAGCAAGCTATCAATCCAGTCGTTCAGCATTGATAATGCCTGAACTCAAGACATTACAGTCCGCTGTAAAGTAAGAACAACCTGTAGCAGGCGATTGAATATCACCTATTCGGGCAGTGTTTGGTTTTAATCCCATAAAATATCCCCTGGAATTACCACACCTTGAGTGCACACCGTGTGAAGCAATGTTTTGATTCGGTGACCCATATGATGTGTTACGTCTATACGCCCAAACAACAAAGGGCTTCTCTGAGTTCCCATCGTCAGCATGAAAATACAGCCTTGTTGCGTGCCTGTTGATTATTATCCGAATCGCCGCAGGCAAATAGTCGGCTTATTACAGATGCACAAGTCAGTAGTACATAGTTGTGCCAGTGGTGCATGCTTCGTGTTTGGCTCAGAACATGTATGTGTTCAAAATTATTTCTGCTTAGGCCACACTGCCTTAATTTTGTGGATGACAACCCTCTGAAGACCCCCAAACTAGTGCGCGCGGGCGAATAAAAAAAAAATTCCGGCCGAAAATAAAAAATGCTACTAAACCACAGGGATACAAAGCTGCTATTGTGAATTTGCGGTAGTGCATAGCGACGTAAACGACAAGCCGACACATGCTGGCATTTTGCACTAAATGAATCGGCACTGTGCGTATGTACTGAGTTCTTGGGTCGTGGAGCTTCGGCAGCCTGGGTGCCATCCTCCAACGGCACCGTATTGACCATGGACCCAGAGCCAGGCCAGAGCCTCGGAGGACGTGATCTTGTAGCCTCTACCAGGCTTCGGGAGGTGGCTGGAAAGAGTAGAAATCGGCCAAATAGAGAGATAACATGCCATGGGAGTTTGTCTGCTGGGAGAGAACATTCGGGTGCGGCAAAATGTTCTCTCCCAGCAGACAAACTCCCCTGGCATGTTATCTCTCTATTTGGCCGATTTCTACTCTTTCCAGCCGCCTCCCGAAGCCTGGTAGAGGCTAGTAATCTTTTTCTGAGAGAGAGAACAGGCGAAAATCAATGCGCGCGCGGATGTCATCCATAAAATTAAGACGGTGTGGCCTTACTGCTTTCTATGAATATCCATTTGATATATATATAGCTCTGATTGGCGGATGTGTTTCAGCATTAGCATTTTTTTATGTCTTGGGGTGGTAGAACTATGGTGCACTGATATGTCAGCTTTGTGTATTTAAATGTTAATTGTACTTTTTTGTTGTGTGGCGCTGTTAATATAAGTTATAAACTTGAGTGCAGCGTCACACTGTCCTTGTTATGTTTTGATGAGTAAAAAAAGCATTTTGAAACACCGTTTGTTGTCGTTGAAGAGATTCATTTGTCACGTATAGATACAGTTACTAGAAGATTCTTTCAACAGTGACAAGTTTGAAGGGTAAAGATACTGACCTCCAAATTTCGATGACTATCAGTTCATCATGTTCGCGGAGACTCGGCCACTCCGTGAACAAGATGGACTGATGGACTTTCAAACTTTGTTTTTGTTTGCTTGTTTGTTTATTCGCATATAATCAGAGAGAAGAACAATAAAATGAACATATTACAGTAAAATAGGATATGCAGGGGAAATATAAGAGGCCATAATGGCTTGTCCGTGATCTTCCCCCGACTAAATTAATTGACAACTGTAATAATGGTAACAAATCAAATGGTAATAATAAATAACAATAAGTAATTGAAAAAAACGAACAATATGATAACGGTAACAAATTAAATAGTAACAATAAATAACAAAAGTAATTGGTAAATAACGTTAATTAGAAATGGTATGTTAAAAATAAGTTAACAGAGGTTTAACTGAAGTACAAACATAAACAAAAAAATTGAAGCAATAACTCCAGAATATATAAATGAATTTTAAATTTAAATCTTATATAACATGTAACGGAAAATTCAAACTTATACTTAGTATATCGAAGTGGGACTTTAACTTAAGATAAGATGTCAAATATCGGTGGGAAAGAAAAGAAGGTGATTTTTAAGATTGCGTCACTTGTCACTGTTGAAAGAATCTTCTAGTAACCGCCTGTTGTGTTTTCGCTAGGATATGATTAACGAAGTGGACACAGACGGAGACGGGACCATAGATTTCACCGAGTTCTTGACGATGATGACACAGCAGATGAAACAGATGCATCAGGAGGAGGAGCTGCGAGATTCCTTCAAACTCTTCGACAAGGTCAGTTAATCAATCAATCAATCAATCAATCAATCGACCAATCGATCGATCAATCAATCGATCGATCGATCGACCAATCGACCAATCAACCAATCAACCAACCAATCAATCAACCAATCGACCAATCGACCAATCAACCAATCACCAAATCAATCAACCAATCAACCAATCAATCAAACAATCAAATGGTTTATTTGTGAAAACAAACAAGAACTTGTAACCTTTGGCCAACCAATCAATCAACCAATCAATCAATCGACCAAATCGACCAATCAACCAATCAATCAACCAATCAATCAATCAATCGACCAATCAATTGATTTATTTGTGAAAACAGACAAGCACTTGTAGCCGTTGGGGCTAAATTGTGTCTTGCTGTACAATTTGATTTATTCGCATATCTGGCATAACAATTTAAAATTGATAAGCTATTCAATAAAATCCATATCGTTACACATTAATTACCCAAAAATAACAGTTTAAAGTTCAACATTAAAACAATTACAGACATATGTGAAATACTAACATTTTCTGTCTTGTACAAAGTAAAAACAAGACTGGAGGAAAGACTAAACACCCTAGTTGACCACCATAATATAGTTATGAAAATTGTAAATTGTGTATCACTGATACATAAAAAGTAATTTTCTGGGCAAGGCACATTATGTGTAATAATATCTGCGACGTCGACCATAGGAAAACGTTGATTTTTTTTTCAATCCCACTAATCTCTGATGTACTGTAGGATGGCAACGGGTCTATCAGCGCCGCGGAGCTGCGTCAGGTGATGGCCAACCTGGGAGAGAAGCTGACAGATGAAGAGGTGGATGCGATGATCAGGGAGGCTGACGTGGATGGAGATGGAGAGGTACAAAATTTAACGTTAGTAGCTAGAAGCAAGCTTAAGTCCCTGTAGCCTGGTATCCGGTCTGATTCGTGGTTGGGGCTGCAAGAGCTCTGTCCCGCCCGCCTCACATAGGTTTCCCGGTGTGTATTTCACGACAGATTGATTAGCCCTCCACGAACATCGTGTTGGGGGAAACCAAATCCCCAAGCATACTGACTTATTAGCGTAACACTCATTCCAGGACGGCCTATTGCACTGGGCGGGGGAAGCTATTAGAGCCCCCGAAGGCACAACCTGCCTGAACACCCCCAATACCCCCAATCACGTAACACTGGATACCAGGCTAAATTCCATGTCACACATAGCCAAATTTGGCCTCCAGAACACTGGCCGAACTCCTCCCAATCCTGTCTTTGTACATGCTTTCAACTGATCATGGTACTTCCGGTCAACCGTATATATGTTCGGTAGACCGGAAACCACTATGCATTGTGGGATATGTTTGATGACTGCTGTGCCTCCCAACCATGGTTAGGAGTAGGTCAAAGGCAAGGTCGGGACCAAGCGGTCGGCTGGTGTTCGGCCAGGTCGGCTACTGTTCGGCTACGTCAGCCGAATGTTTCAAATGTTTAAAAAAATTAGGTGTGGACGGGAGGTTCGGCCATGGTTGGCTGGTGTTCAGTAGTAGGTGTGGACGTGGGTGACAGGCAAATTTGGCTCAAATTGAACTCACTGACTTTGATTCGAATCGAAAGATAGGCGTAGCCTTAATTTGGTCAGAATTCTCCCGAACTTCAGCCAACCTTGGTCGGCCTGTGTTCGGAGGGGCTTCAGCCATTGTGCACTAGTAGTATTTCTGCACTTCTTATATATATTATAAACCGTCAGCAAAGGCTTAGTGACCATTGGCTGTTCCAGCTAGTATCTCAGTTTATATGTTTGTCAGTACACTTGTTACATAACGCTACACGTAGGCCTGATTGAACATATTACCTCGGGGCATTGGGGCGCCGGCACCGTCTAGAAGAATGCTGCTCTTAAGCCTTATTATTAGACATTTATATATACATATAACAGTTATGGACATGTGTATTTATATGAATATGTATTCGTATATGTATATGTATATGTATATGTATGATGTGACCTGTGCCTAGCCCAGTGGGGCAAAAATGTACAATAAAGGTCTCCATTCATTCATTATTAGATCTTGAAGCATGAAGATGTCTAGTATATGGGAAATGATTTCTCGGATTTCTGATATGGATAGTGGGAGGTCTTCGTTTTACAATTTTTTTCCCGCAAATTGTACACAATGTTGTATTATGTGATAGTCGATTCTTTGTAAACCATTTTTTCTTCTTCACTTTAAAAGAAAATACTGCAATAGAGAAAATGAGATATCATCAAACGTTTCTTTCAAGCCTCCGTGCATTTGACTTTGAGTTTTTTTCCATTATTGTTGACGTACCTGATTCTTTTCTTTCTTTATTTCTTTACAGGTGAACTTCGAAGAGTTTGTGAGGATGATGAGAGACAAGTAAAGCTGACTAAAGCAGTCCTGGATCCGCCATAGCCTTGGTACCATCCTACTTGTATGCCGGGGCTCCCACACTCGCTTCCCTAACAAGTGTTGTACTTTGCCTCCAGAACACTGGCCGAGCTCCTCCCAATCCTGTCCTTGAACATGCGTTCACTGGCTGATCATGGTACTTCCGGTCAACCGTATATATGGTCGGTAGACCGGAAACCGCTATGCATTGTGGGATATGTTTGATGAATGCTGTGCCTCCCAACCATGGTTAGGAGTAGGTCAGCTGGTGTACGACCAGGTCGGCTACTGTTCGCGATCGGCTACGTCAGCCGAATGTTTCAAATGTTTAAAACATTTGGGTGTGGACGGGAGGTTTGGCCATAGTTGGTTGGTGTTTGTGAGTAGGTGTTAACGTGGTTGACAGGCAAATTTGGCTCAAATTCAACTCACTGACGTCGATTTGTATCGAAAGATAGGCGTAGCCTTAATTTGGTCAGAATGCTCCCGAACTTCAGCCAACCTTGGTCGGCCTGTGTTCGGAGGGGCTTAAGCCATCGTGCACTAGTAGTATTTCTGCACTTCTTATATATATTACAAACCGCCAGGAAAGGCTTAGTGACCATGGCTGTTCCAGCTAGTATCTCAGTTTAAATGTTTGTCAGTACACTTGTTACATAACGCTACACATAGGCCTGATTAAGCACGTTACCTCAGGGCATTGGGGCGCCGGTACCGTCTCGAAAAGAATGCTGCTCTTAAGCCTTATTATTACCTCCATGAAAAATGGAGGTATTGTTTTGGCGTGTGTGTGTGTGTGTGTGTGTGTGTGTCTGTCTGTCTGTCTGTCTGTGTGTTTGTGTTTCCGCACATTTGTAGTCAGCATAACTTCAGAACGCCTTTATGGATTGTAATTATATTTGGTACGTTGGTAGGTCTTAGGAAGACAAAGGTCAAGGTCAAATATTGGCCTCCTGGTGGCTGACCTTGGTACTGAAGCAGAACTTTTTTTCTTCTTCACTTTTCCAAAAAAATACTGCCATCCAGAAAATTAGATATCATCAAACGTTTTTTTCAAGCCTCTGTGTATTTGAGTTTGAGTTTTGTTTTCCATTATTGGTGACGTACCTGATTCTTTTCTTTCTTTATTTCTTTACAGGTGAACTTCGAAGAGTTTGTGAGGATGATGAGAGACAAGTAAAGGTGACTAAAGCAGTCCTGGATCCGCCACTCTTCCACCGAAAATATCATAATAATATTACCAGTATATAAGAAATATGATACTCTAAACCTCCGGAAAGTATACATGTATAATGCATAATGTTCAAAACGACTCTTGGCCATTTCATACATTACGAACAATATTACCAGTAACAGTAACGCTACATAGCTTAAACGAAGGGTTGGATATCACAATTATGGTTGATAGGTTTCATAGAATTATATACGCATAATCTGGACCTCAATCATACATGTATGCCGAAAATCAAACCCACTGTGACTTACAGCTGCGAACACACAACCACAGTGGTAAGAAGACGTGAGCTATCATGTATCATCATAGTACTGACTTTCATGTGCACTTCTATATATGTTGGTATCAAAAAGAATGGCTTTGTTGAGATTTGAGGCGATTATAAACGAAATGTTCATGACAGGTTGACAAATGTTTTCAACGGTATTCCTCCAAACAAAACAAAACAAGATCAGATTCTGGTGTCATAATATATCTAGACCTAGCTAAATCAAACCACCATAAAATATGACCTCTTTTGCTACAAGATTCAAGTTGAAAAGTCAGTATCAGGAGCTAGTATTTTTTTATCAATGTGTGTTTCCTGTATTTGAACACAAGATGATCAGAATGAATTTCATTAGTAAGGAGACCACATATAGCACCACGCAGAAGCCTTTTATATTCCAAAGTGGTTCAATAATTCTTTGCTTGTTCAGTGGTATGTATCAATTTATTAGTATTTAATATATTTGATATATTTATTATAAGTCATATATAGTTGAAGCTAAATACATGTATTCTTCTTCTGTTGGACCTATAGTATTATTTGTGAAACCACCACATCATGCAAACGTATTAAAGATATTTGGTCGAGTGATATTTGACTTGTCGATTACAGATTATATATCGTAAGTACCCACACACACAACACCCGACTAAGCACACAGGGGGGACTCCAGGACAGACTGTAGTGCCTAGTTAATACCTTTGAAAATCCTGTTTTCTCTTGAAAATTTTGGTCCATTTTGGAGAATTTTGGGCTGGAAGGCACAGGTAGGGTCTAAACTTTCCTACATTGGTCAAGTTTTGTTTATTTCACCAGTTTAGTGGGCGTAGTGAGAGATGTGAGTGGTTAGGTCTTGTCTGGCCAGGCGGATGGATACCAAGGAAAATGTAGGTCAAAGTTGAGGTTTTGTTACTATCATCAGCTGTGGCGGGAAATTGAGCTGGTCAACCCCCTGTTTCCTTTCTATTTTTGGGAATCAGACCCTTGTTGCTACTTGGTGCAGAAAATTTTTTGAGATTGAAGTATGGGCAAGTACTTTCATGAGGACTTCAAATAGTGTATTTAAGCATGTGTTCCTATGGCAAGATCTAATAGTACTGTCTGCCCTCCAGCTACCAAAAGCTCGCTTGCAGTACAAAAAGAGATCGCTTTCTTTTTCCGGTGCAGTCCTCTGGAACACACTTCCTCCTCATGTCAGAAATGCAAGAACACTCAGTGTCTTCAAGACTACCTTTTCTTTACTCAAAAGTTAATATAATGTGTTGTTAATTTTCCATTTTGCTTTGATATGCAAATTCAGTTTCATTATCATTTATATCATTTGTCATATTTATTTCGTATGTTTTATGTACTTTATTAGTCTGTTCCGTTTCTTTTATCATTACCCTTTGATTGTACTTAAGTTACCTTTTATTATGTTATGTATGTCACAAGGAGCTTTGAAAAGCGCCAAAATGGCGATATGCTAACCTGTATAAATGAATAAATGAAATGAATGAAAAGTAAGACATCACATCTTAGCAAATACGACATGCACACGTGTCGTGGAATTGTCGTCTGTCTGTCTACTTTGATCGTGGCGTTATCATCTGCACGAACTCTTCGTATTGGATGACGTCATCACCATTCTTGTCCGCCATCTAGAATATTAAAAACAACAACACGCAATAAACCATGTAACGTTATGAATACAATTAACACTCAATAAAATTTGTCTACATAGTATAGGATGCATAATGGTTTCTAAGCATATTTCGGAAGGATGTTAGCATGAAAGTTTATCTGTGTTGGTATACTTCATTATGACAAAACGTTCTAAACGTTCTTGCCAACAATGAGTAAATTGGAACTTACCCCAAATTTCTACTGCAGCTTCGTCGGAAACACGTGATTGCAGCAGAGGGTTGTACGTGTCAAATAACCTGTGTCGCCCCCCGTCTCTGTTCAGTGTTGGACGGTTGGCCCAAATGTGCACCACCTCCGTCTCGTTGGGCAAAGTGAAATTAAGTTCTGGACTCAGAGGAACGGATTTCTTTGCGAGAGGAGTAAAGGAGGCGGTGTACATTCGGACCAACCGTCCAACACTGAAAAGAGACGGGGGGCGACACAGGTTATCTGACACGTACGACCCTTTGCTGCTATCACGTGTTCTCGACGTCACGTCCAGGACGCTACTCAGTGTTGTCAAGAATGTTGAGAACGTTTTGTCATACTTAAGAAGGATGTGTTAAGATGACAATGTTTAATTGTTACCTTGACCATAAGGTCGATGGTCTTGTCGTTGTGCACCCTGCCCAGAGATTTTATGGCTTCTTTCAGCTCTGCTTTGTCCAATACTCCATTTCCGTCCTAAAAGGACACCGTAGGGTTTCGTTAACAGAAACAACATACGGGATAGGAAAGTTATGCCAAGGAATTATATGTTAATCCAATCAATTATATGTCAAGAAAGGATTGCAATACGAGTGGCATAATCGCCGATATCTGCTAGTAGAGATTACGAACGGCGTCTGTATTTTTCTGGATATTGCCTTGAAAGACAGAACATTTAACTTCAATTGGTTTCAACGTTTCAGCTCTGGATCAATGGAGTCCACAAAGACTCCGATCGGGACCTCTACCGGTAGAAACAGCGATTCTGCCAAATCACAATGTCTACCTTGACATATACAAGTTTTTTTTCATATATATAATTTCCAACATGTAATCACAAGACGTGGTGACGGCACACTCAAGGTTTTCAAACTTATATTAATGCCGCCACCATCACAGGGAACAATACAATACTCATTTTCACCTGAGCGAAGTGAGGAAAGTCGTGTAAAGTGCCTTTCCCAAGGGCACAAGATCGGTGGCATGTCAGGACTCGAACCCGGGACCTCTAGGTTCCGAGTCGAGCACTCTGCCGCTGCGCCTAACGACCCCACTGTATGTACATGTTTATGTATGGTTGCGAATGCACAAACGTTAGAGTTTGATACACATGATGTATGGTATGTGTTAGAATTTCCAGGACTGGGCCAATAGGAAAAGTAATTCTAGTCACTGGATTCATAAGAAATATAAGAGAATGTCGACCTTGTCATGCTTTATGAACGTCTCTCTCGCGAACTGGGAGTCGGGCGTCAACACTTGTTTGAGGAAGAACATAAAATTCAGAAACTCCTCGAAGTCCATCATGTCGTTTTCGTCCAGGTCATACGCCACCAGGGAGGCCTGTGGCAACGAGTGACATTTGCGAAGCAGATTCATAATGTTTACATTCACATGTTCTAGCCCAACAAACTACTGCTCTGTTTATTCTTGCTCAAACGCATTCATATCTATGTGGATATATACATATGGTGAATAGCCCCTCCAACTCTTGCCTTCTACAAAAATGCAGCCCAACACCACAGGGTGTCTGCTACAGCAGCAGTTACCATGGTGACAGAAGTTTGGTCCAGGTCATTGACTTTGTTTGGAGAAGAGGAAGAAGAAGAATAAACCGAGAAAAAGCAATATGTTTTCCTTCTGCGAAGGTAAACATTATTGGGCAGTGTACAGGAGGCTTTATATAGCTAAGTTTTATACAACAATTGCAATATGCAAACTTGAATTTTTGTCTTTGTCCTCTTTACCTTCAGAGCTGTGTCTGATGGCATAGGTTTGATCCCGAGTGACATCATTGCCTTGCCCAGGTCACGTGACAGGAGGAAGCCATCTTTGTCTTTATCAAGCATCTGAAAGCATTTCTTGAACAGATCCTTTTGTTTGTCATCAAACTTTGGGTGGTCGGCAGCCATCCTGTCAATATATATCATCTCATATATTAAAGATGAAAAACATCTTAGCATTACAATTTAATAACACAATTATATCACAAAATAATGGATTTAAGGTAGCATATGGTCGCCTTAATTGTCCCTGTTATCACTGTTAAGTCTATTGAAACATAATTTCAAGTCATGGGCATTGACCCGTTTAGAACTACAAAATATGACCCCTGACTTTTAATGATATATTAACAGTTTGATAGAGCTGGATAGTTTAGACAGTTAGAAGGAAATCTGCACTAACTGCCCCCGTCACACACAGACGACAATGGTCTCACGATCTTTCTCAACCTTTCCCAGACCGTGGTTGGGAGTTAGTCGTAATCAAGATCACATGTGGTTGGCAGTTGCTCGACCTGAATTGTCCTTGAACATTCCAATATGTTCACACAAGCCTTTCTGTTGATGTTTCGGGTAGAAGATCAAACAAATGATTTCCGTTGTACACTAGTCAGGTTTGGGTAGGATGCATTTTAACACACAGTTTGATAGAGCTGGATAGTTTAACACACAGTTTAACACACAGTTTGATAGAGTTGTCCCTGAACTTTCCAATATGTTCACACAAGCCTTTCCATTGATGTTTCGGGTAGAAGATCAAACAAATGATTTCCGTTGTACACTAGTCAGGTTTGGGTAGGATGCATTTTAACACAAAATCAAACTTGTGAAACAAACATGGCGCTTACCCCTAGGCAATGAATCAAAATTGATCACAGCAACGCCCCAAATCTATCAAAGTCTATCAAACCAAGACGGTTAAATACGATTTTAAACCTCCTTGATCAAAGCTATCAGGAGTTACCCGTCAGTGTGTGAGAAATACAATCATACATAAAAACACGCAGCATACCTTCCCTGTTGTAAGACGAGACTGTGGAACCCTGTAGACTGGCACGACTGAAGGACACACGTAGTGAAGGTCGACTTCTAATTTACACACGACCTTTCCGTCTACCTTTCTAGGTCGCCTCAATCATACCGTTAATTCATGGGTCATTGGTTCATCGGCATTTCAGTATGTTTTTTTGGAAGACTATCAACTGCGCTTGGGGAAAAGTTTGATGAAATATATACGTAATACAAAATGTTTGGAAAAAAATCTTACAAGTTTTATCGTGAAAATGAAATGTCGGTTTGTTTGTTTGTTTGTTTGTTTGTTTGTTTGTTTCGCCTAACCGGTGAACCACCTTTTTAGGCGTATTATAACACACCAGTTTTGTACATGTAAGACCGGACTATAAGGTTTGAACCACTCACACCAGACCCCTGTTACAATTGATATACGGCTTAAAGTATTGACGTATACATATCAAGTTTAAAGAGTTAAAGGTCATACATGAAACATTGTCACTGAATTCAAACAGTATTCCACGAAACTGAATAATCATTTATTATTTATAGATAGACTCTGTAAGGTTTGTAACTGTGATAGCGTGGAAGATAAAATGCATTTTGTACTTGTGTGTAAATTATATGACGCCGAACGTAACATACTATTTATAAATATCCTCTTAGACAAACTGTGTAAAGGTAGAACCAAGAAAGATTTTCAGTCATCTCATGTCTACCAGTAATGAACATAATAGAAAAACTATTTGATAGGAAATAATCTCCAGTTGCTTTAAAAAGAGAGAGGACGTCTTTAAGACCTAGATTATATAGAATGTACTTCCTAGTACTTCCCAAGACTCACGTTATTCTGTTATCCTTATATCCTATGTACTTAATGTTACTCAGTATGATATACATGTATATGTAACATCATACCCTGATGTATGCATTTAGCCCCATGGGCATGAACATGCAATAAAGATTCAATTTAATCGTGGCGCTAACATCTGCACGAACTCTTCATATTGGATGACGCCATCACGATTCTTGTCCGCCATCTAGAATATTAAAAACAAACAGTATCAAGAAAACTATGTATGTATTGAAGTATGAATTCAATACACATTTTTTCAACATAGGTGTAACTGATAAAAAATTATCTTCGACGGAAGGACAATTGCTGTGGTTGCTTTGATGACACGCAATACTAGTAACTTTGCCTGTAGACTACAATCTATCAATTCAACAATTGAGAGTTTTTTTTCAGAATGCCACCTGGTTCTCGTCTAGATCACATTGATATCATTATGCTTTCCAAATACGAGTTTGAAATTCCTTCCACAGCAATAGCTACTTTCTATGGACTGCGAAATCGTGGAACTGTATACATGATAAGCTTTTCCCTCCCGCATATCGAATATATACAACCCACAAGTCTTGAAAACCAGCGTACACGGAAATCTCCCAGTATAGCCTCCTCTACCTCGCATCACCAACTTAATTCAGTGCCCAGAAGCGTACTCTTAGTTCAGTGCCTCGCATCGAATAATTAAAAATCGGGTCTTGTCAACATAGTATAGGATACATTCATTTATGAGTTCTAATTGAATTAAAGAAGTATACATTGTATGATGTATTGAAATCACACAAGTTAATTTTTACCTTGACCATAAGGTCGATGGTCTTGTCGTTGTGCACCATGCCCAGAGATTTTATGGCTTCTTTCAGCTCTGCTTTGTCCAGTACTCCATTTCCGTCCTAAAAGTACACCGTAAAGAACGGTCAGCTTTTTTCCGTTATACAGTAAACGGTAACAACAGACGGGATAGGAAAGTTATGCAAATGAATTACATGTAATTAATTCATTCAATTGTATGTCAGAAAAGGGTTGCAATACGAGTAGCATAATCGCCGATATCTGCTGGTAGAGATTACGATCGGCGTCTGTATTATGAACGCCAAGAGCTATTCGATACTTTACAATTAGACAAGATATATAAGAAAATGTCAAAGCAGGACATGTTTAAAAACACTTGATGTCATACAAGAACGAAAGTACAGTAGACAAACTATGTAATTATGTTTCCAAATGTTTCAAAAAGAGAAAAGAAAGGGCAACTAACAGTAGATGATAGGTAGTTTATAGTATTATTGTAATGTATAGATTCCTAGCACTTTGCATTAGAATATAGTGTTCCAGTATGAAATGCTCATGTTTTACATACTGGATATCCTCTTGTGCATTTAGCCCATCTGGGCAAGAACATGCAATAAAGATTCATATCATATCATTATTTTCTGTGGATATTGTCTTAAAAGACAGAACTTGCTTTCAACTTTTCAATTTAATAGGTACGACAGAGCTAGAGACTCCGGTCGGGATCTCTACCGGTAGAAACCGCGCGATTTTGCCAAATCACAATCTCTACCCTGGCATAAACATGTTAATGCATGTGACGTGAACAGGGATGCGAAAACACAAACGTTAGTTTTGGATACACATGCAGTAAAGTATGTGTTAAGCTTTCCAGGACCAATAGGAAAAGCAATTCTAGTCACTGGATTCACAAGAACGAAATAAAGTGGATGTCGAGCTTTGGTTATCTATCCCATTTATTTAGTACTGAAAAGTATGGTCTTTAAAAAAGTGCTAACTACTATTAAATGGGATAGCTATGGGTAAAAAAAAACCATTATACCCCCAAGAGTTACAACACTCTAAACAGTCTATATGGTGTACTACTGCTATCCGATTAGTTTCCCAGAGGAAAATTTAGAATTTCTCTATATGGTGAATTAATGGGATCTATGTCTAGCTTGTCATACGTATACACAGGAGGTAAAGTATGGGCTGATATTTCCAGGACTGGACCAATAGAAACGTACTCTAGTCACTGGATTCACATGAAATATAAGAGAATGTCGACCTTGTCATGCTTTTCGAACGTCTCTCTGACGAACTGGGAGTCGGGTGTCAACACTTGTTTGAGGAAGAAGATAAAATTCAGAAACTCCTCGAAGTCCATCATGTTGTTGCCATCCAGGTCAAACGCCTTCAAAGAGGCCTGTGGTAACAGAAAACGATTCAAACTAGAAAGGTAACATTTGCAAAGCAAATTCATAATGTTTACATTCACATGTTCTAGACCAACAAACAACTGTTTGTTGGGCTAGAACTTAGATTAATATCTATGTGTATATGTATGGTGAATAGCCCCTCCAACTCTTGCCTTCTACAAAACTGCAACCCAACACCACAGGATGTCTGCTAGAGCACCGGTTACCACGGTGACAGACGTTTGGTCCAGTTCATTGACTTTGTTTGGAGAAGAAGAAGAGAAAGAGGAAGAAGAAACTGAGTAAAAACAACATGTTTCATTCTGCGAAGGTAAATATAACAATTGGGCAGTATGCAGAAAGCTTTATATAGCTAAGTTTGACATACAACAATTGCAATATGCAAACTTGAATTTTGGTCTTATTTATACCGTGGCCTACAGGGACAAATGTTAACACCGCAACTTTTGGTGTTTCAACACCGCAACTTTGGTGTCTCAACACCGCAACTTTTGCCGTCAACAGACTCAACACTGCAACTTTTGGAGCCTACAGATGCAAAGCGTCAACTACCATCCCCCCACTTAAGTGTAACAACCTTTATATAAGTGATTCAAGAGAGAAGGCTTCAGAATTCAACAAATATTTTTCACAACAGTCGACAATTGATGATACCAATTCCAGATTACCGAATCTTGACTACTTGACTGATGCACTGATGCACGATTGTTTAACTGTGAAACTACGGCCACTGAAGTTGAATTGTATATTTCTGAGTTGGATATTTCAAAGGCGTATGGCTGGGATGAAATTGACAACGTTTCTTAAAGCTTATTAGTCCATATATCTCTGATAAAATAGCCTATATTTTTAACCTGTCGTTTTGTCACGGAATTTGCCCGGAAATCTGGAAGAGAGCTAATGTTGTGCCTATTTTTAAAAAAGGTGATCCTTGCTTAGTTTCCAACTACCGCCCCGTTTCGTTGTTACCTGCCCTGTCAAAAATTTTAGAAAAAATAGCCTATAAACATATATATACCAAAAGTTGCGGTGTTGGGACACCAAAAGTTGCGGTGTTGGGACACCAAAAGTTGCGGTGTTGGGACACCAAAAGTTGCGGTGTTGGGACACCAAAAGTTGCAGTATTGAGACACCAAAAGTTGCGGTGTTGGGACACCAAAAGTTGCGGTGTTGGGACACCAAACGTTGCGGTGTTGAGACAGCAAAAGTTGCGGTGAGGGAACATCAAAAGATGCAGTGTTGGGACAGCAAAAGTTGCAGTGATGGGTACCGTGGCCGACAAGTACAAAATTTTACACCGCAACTTTTGGTGTTTTACACCGCAACTTTTGGTGTTTTACACTGCAACTTTTGGTG